TTTTTCTCTCTCTCTCTCTCTCTCTCTCCTTTCTCTATCTCTCTCTCTCCCTCTCTCTTTCATCTATCCATCTATCTCTCTCATCCGCGCAAGCGACGACGTTTTACGCAAACGTAATTTTCGCCCACAGCATCATCGCATAGCTCTGGCTTGTATTGTACGATGCCAGCAACTGCAGCACCTCGCGTTGAGCCACGATAAAACAATGAAACGGCGAAACTCACGATTTCACGCCTCTCTGGAAACTATCCTGACAAAAGAATATGCACGACCGTTTGTACGTTCTTCGATATATCTACCTACGTACGTACGTGCCTGCGTACCTGTATGCATGCATTCATATACAGATATATATATATATATATTATTATTTTTCCTTTCTTTTATCGCGTATAGAAAACAAAGGGCGAGAGGAAGCCATACCAAATAACTGTCTCCGCGTGGCGTGAATGGTCGCAAACAGCAAGCGTATAGAAGACGAATGGCCAGTCGATTTGCCAGTTAGTAAGCTATAACGTTGAACCAGTTACCGCAGACATTTGGCAGATATCCGCTATAGTGTTTTCCTCGAAAATGTAGAACGACATCGTTCTATATCAAAGACAAAAAAAGACCAAATGAATTTCCTCTTCGTTACGAGTATAATAATGCTAGGAACTGAGGATAGCTCGATTCGAAACACGATCGATCGATCAACCACTGGGGAATTATTTGCTGAATCGAAAAAACTGTAATCGTACCGAGAGAAAAAATATATCCATGGAATGTTGAGAAACGAGTTGAGAGCGAGACCTTGGATGCTAATTTCATACGTGCTAATAATAATAAAGAATAGAATCTGTGAATCCGTGCGATAACATAGGGCACGTTCTCTAACAGAGAACTGAATCTTTTTCTAGCGTAATTCTCGTGAATGATGCTGACGGTAAGAATCATAATGGACTTTGCGGGTTCATACTAATCACGGTTTAATCGTTTTCTCACCTCGATACTCGAAGCGTTATCACCTGACACATATATTCATAGTTACGTGCCGCTTCTCTTCTCTGCTAATTTGCGTCTACGTTATGAGGAACCATGCGTGCGTGTATATATGTGTACGTGTGTTTAAACGTGCGCACCTTCACGCGATAGCCTGCACGTTCTGCTTTCTCCCCCATGTCATTTTCTCTGCGTAACAATGCTTCTAAAAATATAGGCTATTTTTCACGCTCCACGAATTTCTTCCTATATTGTACGTACTAAAATAAAACGGTTAAAATATCAGAGTCATAAAGCTGCCACAAAGTTAACGATACTTCTTATTTCCTTTTCGCTTGACAACTCTATTCACTCTGATACGGGCCGCTAAAAATACGAACTCTTCAGTTAATTGATAATTATCTTTCACATCGAACGTTCCACGAAACATTATTCTATCCGCTCTTTAATATCTCTTTATCCATGATTAATTATCGTCCTATGTATTTTTGACGTTACATTCAAAGTGTTGCACATCGCACATTTCTTTTATTTCCCCTTTGTTTCCTTTCTCATGAAAGAAAAAAGAAAAAAAAAAAAAGAAAAAAAAAGAAAGAAACAACATAGATTATAAACGAATTCTGATCTCTTTTTATCTTGACAAAATGTTGTAAAAACAATCTCATTTATTAACTCATACAACTGAACTAGGTAATTTCTCTTGTCGGTCGTTTTTCTATCGATTCCTTTTATTTCTTCCATCATTATTAGTATTTCATCAATGAAGGTCGTTATTATGAGAGGCAAAGAGAGAAAGAGAGAGAGGAAGAAAGGAAGAGAGATAAAGAGGAAGAGAAGGAGGAGGAGGAGATAGAAATAGGAGTGAATGAAGTCGTGCTTCAACTCGACCGTGACGAGTTCACTTTTGCTCGACCTTCCTCGATGGTTCTCTCTCTCTCTCTTTCTCTCTCTCTCTCTTTCTCTCTCTCTCTCTCTCTCTCTCTTCTACCGCGCCCAACAACACCCATTTGCACTTTAGCACGAACGTTGTATAATATAATAAATGCAAGAGGCATGAAACAGCCTACCGATGCTTAACGGTAATGGCGAATTTGTGCTTTAGATACGTGACGTGTATTACGTATGCCTTCGATTCGAAATACATTCCAATGTTTCACGCCTAATCTTAGCTTCTTTCTTTTACTTTTTCTTCTTTTTTTTTTTTCATCCTAACAATCCTTATTTTCTCATCGTTAATTGAAAGAATTTTAGCGATTCTCGATGTAATAATGTAACGATGACGACAGGGAAAATGATTACGTCTCGTCCAGATATAGGATTGTTTGCGTGTATATGTGTCATGACTCTCGGGGCCATTTAATCGACCCATTTAACAAACGCTAGACATTTCGAACATTCAACTCAGCCAGACCCGACTTCACGGCCATGGTCAAGCGAATATACCTTGAATTTGTGGGATCTGCACTCTGTACTCTCCCCCCCCCTCTCTCTCTCTCTCTCTCGTACGATGTAACTATGTCGGACGCGACGTCGACATTGGTTACGTCCGAAGCGGAACGAGAACACGACGGGAACGATTTTCAGAAAGCTCATGGACGACGGATCGAGATTCATACATCACGCTTCCTCGAGCACACAAAAAATTCATATCACTCTCGAAATTTCAATTTGCTCGGCCTCGAACGTCTTGCTGTTTCTTTGATTACTATGGAAGATAAATGGCGAAGAGAGAAAAATTTCACATCTTCTTTTTTTCTCCTTTCTTGTATTTATTCAATGTTTTACCTTCACCTTCGAACTTCTTCCTTGCGCAGAGCGATAAGAATGAGACAAAAAATAAAAAGAGAAAAAAAAAAAGATAAAAGAGAAATAAAAAAGAAACTACGAGCATCAATTTCATAATACGAAGCCAACGAGATCGGACGTTTCAAGATGTCCTTTTTTCCTACTCTCTGAACAGGTAGATACAGGTATACATTTCATAGCCGGTAATAGCTGCATCGTCCCTTTCGACATAACTTTGTGTAGCAGGTTATCCTTGAACGTTGCTGGTGCCACACCGAGACGCTTGTTTTCATCGAGCGATGCAATGCCCCGCGAAATGGTTACGCAATATTGCCACGCCACGCGAACGTAAATACGATCTGACAGAAGGCCGGCACACGAGCTGTGGGATATGCTCGTGATATATATATATATATGTATATGTGTTTCTATATGTATATATATATATATATATATATATGTGTGATATACGGACAAATTGATTCTCTGAAGAGTGAAATTATTCCACCTAGGCTCTCTCCTATCTACCTCTATCTTTCTCTATATCTTTCTTTGCTTTTTATGGACTCTAACATTCCTTCATAACTTTGAAACAACTAGAAAAGTTTTGTGAAGACACGACAAAGAATAATATGGTATATATGTGTCACGAAAGAAAGTTTCATAAGAATCGGCGAATAGAAGCGATTGGGAGCTGCTAGTAGCACGGGAACAGAATTTCAAGCGGACAAATCGGATAGCCCAAGTGAAAGAGAGAGAGAGAGAGAGAGAGAGAGAGAGAGAGAGAGAGAGAGAGAGAGAGAGAGAGAACTACAATAAAACCGAGTTCACGTTTCGTCGTTGCATCATGAGTGTCTTCTCTGCTTCGCCTTGGCTCGGCTCGGCTCGGCTCGATTCGGCTCGCATTCGACTCGGTTTCTCTTTTTCTATGCCATGAAGAAAAACGAAGAACGCAGAAAGAAACGATTCTATAGGAAAGACGACGAACAGGCTCCTAGATGGCTGACCTTTTCACCCCTTTGCACTTCGCTACGTACGCTACGTCGTACGTACACGCAAGAACGTTCGAACCCACGTCGTAGCATTCGAAAAGACGAGTAAGGAATACGCGAGTCATCGTCTTTGCCTCGCATCGACGACGTTTCGACCGTTTTACTTATCTCTACGGACTTAGAAAACGGCACTTTCCTACTTTTTTCCCTCTCTCTTCCCTCACTTCCTTCTTTGTCGCAACCAATATCGAAAAGTATCCTTGGAATTTTAATGAATTCGTTAAAAGAAACGAAAGAGTATTTTTGACAGGTACTTCGAATGTTATTTTTGATCCCTTAATATAGATCATCTCCTTAAATACATTCTCGACGTATATGAAGAATAATATTCAATTTAGCTAAAACATTATCATCTTATTAGAATTTTCGTTCAAAATCCGTCATTAGAGATCTAATTAATTTCGAATAAACTTGTATATAATTATAGCAATAATAATTCCAAAGGGATAATAAACAAAAGGACAAGCTCGTCTTCTCTCTTGTTCTATGTCTCATCGTAAAGGAGCATTTATAGCTACGTTATACGGAATAATTACAAAGTGTAACGCATCTAATGGCAGGTGGCTCTTGACCTAGTTAGACTCACTAGAGGAGAGAAGACGTTCTTCTGAGGTATTGAAGTTATATACTAACCATGTGATGGTGCAGTGGTCGCGCAACGACCAAGACGACCGTCAGGAGGACATTCATTTTAAGGAACAAGGGACGAACGAGAGTAGCATTTACAAGAGCTCTTTGACCCTTTCTACGTTAAAGGAAAGCTTTTCCATCGGGTATCAAGGAAATGGGGTTCATTCGAAGACATCGGAGTAAATTGGAACCGAGTCGAGAGATGGTCGAGGCCTTCTCTATCTATCTGTTTGTACATCGTCGAAGCATTCGTAGAAAACTCAGTGACCATCGGTTGTGCAAGACCCGTCTCACCCATACTCTTACACTAACTTACAATCTCACCGACATAATCATGTTCGTGCTTTTCTTCGGTGTCGTTTGTTCATACATATATACGTACAAATACATATGTGATACGTATGCGTACAACTTAACCAATACACACACATAAGGAACGAGCTACCTGTGGCAACCTACTTACCAACCCGCTAAGCTGCACCTATCTAAACTCGTCCCGCTAGCTTCAAACTGCAACGAACTTTCTTGTCTATGATATAAGCCGGTCCTTTCTTTTTTTTTTCTTTTGTTTTCTTTTTCTTTTTTCTTATTTTTTCTCTCTATAAATTTTATTTCCACGTTAGAGAGTTTCAACGAATGATCGAGACGATCGCATATAACGTTCACGTGAAAGTATTTATCCTTCAGAATTCCTACATCGGAAGATCGTATGCTAATTAAGAAAGTAAGAGAAAAAGATCCAATAAGATATTATTATTCTATACGTTTTACCCTACTTAATATTACCTTCTTCTTATTTTTTTTTTGTGCTTTTTCTTTCTTTTTTTTTTTTTTTTTTTTTTAATTAAAACAATTCGCAGAACTTATAACATAATTCATAAAGCGTTTTGTTGTTTTTGTTTTATCGCCGTTAGCAAGAACGTGTAATAAAAACGAAGCGATAGCACAGGGCTCGTAAATACTGTAAAGAAAAAATTGTTGATTAATTATGAAAAATATTTATAGCCATAAAAGGTTTCCAACGAAGTTTTAATTCGCGTTTATATAAGTACTCGTATCTGGAATTCGAGTATCTATGTCGTACCGAATAAGCTTAGAATTCCGATGGTTGACATTAGCCGACGAAGCGTAATCCCGTTCGGATCGATAACGCACCGACATGGTGAACGCGTAAACACGCGATCGAGACGCGTATACAGCTTTGACCAGCACGAAACGACAGCCGCGTTTCGCTATCGAGCGAGGACGGACGGAACTCTCCTTGCGAAATACAATAGCTTTCGGTACTCCCATTCGTAATGCCGGAACACATCGGTGTTCCTCGCCTCCATTACATGGCAACGATTGTGGCTTCGAGAGAGCGTTGTGTAATTGCCAGATTATCGTAGCTCTCCTAAACGACGTAGTATGATTGTATATGTAACTATGTGCGTATGTGTATCTATGTGCACGCAGGCGCGTGCATACAAATCGTATATATCGTAGATCGCGCATGATTTCAAAACTCGAATCCCTTCGCGTAATATCTCTACGTAAAATGTTCATCGTTTTCTATCGTAGAAAGAACGTTTTTTACTCGAAGGAAAAACTCGCACTAATAATAACGTCCATCGAGTTTCAAGGTAATGACGTTTACATAGCTCGCTACGATCGTGACTCATGCTCGTCCAATCGTTCCATTCTTAATTTTCTTGAAGTCTCCATAACGCATTAACAGATAAGATAACGAGAAGATATCGAAACGAACAGTCGTCGTTCGTTCGCGTCGTTCGTCGAATAAAAATATGTGAATTTAAAAGAATAGTTACGTGGTAAGGAATAACACCGGTTACGTTCCGTTTGGTTTTAGTTATTTTTTTCTTTTGTTCGCGCTAAACGAAAGGAAATATCGTCAAAGTTTCATCGTGCACGTTTAACAAAAGTTAATCATACTGGAAGAAGTGAAAATCTAAACGCACTTGCGCTTAGTTATCGGCGTTATCGTGAGATGAAGAACACCGCTTATCTAGCTTATGGAAATTACGTCAAGCCGCGAATACGTACGTACGAAATATTGAAATTTTAACTCATCTTTAAGGAATATACCGCCGAATAATACATACGTAAGCGGCGGCATACTTTGATAAAGCATCATTTTACATACGAAGTAAGTTACGAATGTGCAGCGACGACTTTACACAGCAGTTGTCTATCTGTCCGTGTATCTCTTTCTTTATTTCTCTCTCTGTCTCTCTCTCTCTGTCTCTCTCTCTCTCTCTCTCTCTAACTATCTATCTATCTATCTCTATCTCTCTTCAGTTCTCTTTTCGCAATCTTTCTCCCTCTCTCGCTCGCGATCTTGAAACTCCGCAAGAAGCATCATCCTTCGAGGAAACAGCGCGCGACTCCTCTTCTCTCGTTGGCTTCGAGAAGACGCATGAAATAGGACCGTCCGACGTAGCGATTAATCTCGCTACAAAATAGCAGACTTCTATCTACTCTTTGACGATGAAAGCTCTCTTTGTAAAAAAAAAAAAAAAAGAAAAAAAGAAAAAGAAATAAAAGAAGAAGAAAAAATGCCCATAACAATAACAACGGCATGGAGCTTATCTCGTCAAGCAATAGGCACGAATGCAAATCATTGATGGGATTTCTCATTGCGAAAAGGAAAATCATCTTTGAAAAGGATGACGTACATACGTAGATACGTGTAGTTATATATCGTCGAAAGGGATTCGCTTCTTTGCCTCGAAGATACTACATCGTCGTCTTGGTCAGAATCTCCTTGAAAATAGCCTCGATTTGGCATGCAAGTAACGTTCCGGCGTTTCGTCTCGTGAGAATGGTGAAGGAAAAAAAAAAGGAGGACCTTACTTGCAGGTAAAATAGAGAGAGAGAGAGAGAAAGGGAGGTGAAGGTAAAGGGAATTCCAAGAGGAAGAGACGCTCGTGCAGTCGATGCTGTAGCAGAACTCGCCTGGGAAGGCGTATAAAGCGAGAATGAGAAAGAGAAAAAAAAGAAGGGGAGAAAAGGAAAGACTATAGGGTGGTGCCTGTCGGTAAAGTCAGCCGGAAGGAACTCGAAGCACCGGATCCCATACAAATGTTCGATTAATGTAGCTCGCTTATGGGTCTTCGTACATCGACGAGTGGAGAGAATGAATGACGATATCCTCGACGCTACTTTCTCTTATGCGCCTTCTTGATCGTCCTATCATTCCCTGTACCCTCTCCTGACTCCCCCACCTACCTACCAAATGAAACAACATTCATAACCTTTGAAGAAACGCCGGCGATACTCCGTACGAAATTTACGAGGCCATTTATAGCTACCGCGAGCGAGATCGTTGTTGCGCGAAAGGGAGACCACCGTTCAAGAGAGCGACGATCCTAGAGCTCTTTCCTCGGAAAATGTATGAGCCGTAAAGAAGAAGGAAATTCAGGAAAACTCGCCCTAACTCATTCTCGAATATCGTTGCTGAAACATCGGTATAATGATTTATCCTCGTCGAAGATATATGGTTTTCTCTCTCTCTCTCTCTCTCTCTCTGTTTCTTTTTTTTCCTTTTCGCATCACTTTTCTCTTCTCGCAATAGATATCAATTAGCAGGCACGTCGTCGAGACACCCACCTACAAAATCTTCGTTTCCTTTGATTTTGTAAATTTGCTCACGACGTTACGTTCTTCGTCGTCACATTTACCAATCCGCCTACAATACATTGACGTACACGTCACCACATAGCGTGTATCGCCTTGTTACGAGTCAGCTTGTTTTCTAATTGGCATATCTATGTCGCGTGATGTATAAATATACTATTATGTCTCGTCTATGATAATAATGAAAGTAAATAATATCGAATAAGCTAGGAGATCCTGAACACGCAACGTTAAGGTAATTACGTACGACCTTTCCCAGGACGAATGGCATTTTTCGCATAAATTTTTTATTACTTAATTAATGAATTAATTTATCAAAGAGAAATCATACGTTCGATACGTTTACGAATGCATGCCTACTAAGAGAAAAGTGGTTAAAAGAAAAAGCAAGACGTACATGCGAATGCTTCGTCGGTACGTTTCGCCGATCGGTATTTCCGACTGACTATAAATCGGTCTTGACTCTTGACGTCACTTCCTGTTCATACCACGGCAAACATACTAATCATAAGACGTATTCATATCCCTATTTGGAAATGGCAGTAGGTAGGTAGGTACATGCATCGTAGATAGTACCACCGGTCGCTTTTAACGTCGTTCCTTTATATTTCGGATATGCGAATTAAAAATATCCTCGGGTCGTACAAATAAAACTAAAGTTTTAAATAACGTTTGCAATAATTTCATTAGTCTCTCGTAAGAGTTAAAAATTCACCAAGAAGGATCACGAAAGAGAACGATCTATCTGTCCGAGAGTCGGACGTCGTTAAATTCGTAAGATTATTTATACGCGAACACCGATAGGCGAATTAGCTATCCACTTGCACAGAATCTAATTACATCGTCACAATTTCCGAAAGGTGGAGAGAGAGACAGAGAGAAAGAGAGAGAGAGAGAGAGAGAGAGAGAGAGAGAGAAAGAGAGAGTAATAGGACGACGGTAAGAGAGTAACCGCACATCGACCAAGCCTAAAAATACTGTTCTAGCGCGAGGTTATTATACAATCGTCGCGCTAATGGCTCGTTTCACCCTCACTCTTGGCAGGGCCACTCGACATGAATTTCTTTCCCGTGCACACGCTTTCGTGCTCCAAAGGAGTAAATTATACGTTGGGCTAAGATTTGTAAGCATAAGCGCGTATTGCCTGCTTTTAACCAAAAGAAAAATAAAAGAACGCTCCTTAGTTGTGTCCTTCTTCCCTTTTGCAGCTGACATTTTGCATTAGGTTTTCTTATATTTCAAAAAAGTACGATCTCGTTACCATCTCTACCCTTCTCGCGGAAATACTCCTTGTCGGATAAACGTTTCCCATTTTTATCGCGAGTAAGCAAGAAAAGGAAGAAGAAAAAAAAATAGTGAAAGAAGAAGAAGAAGAAGGAGAAAGAAATGGGAGAATATTTTCTTGGTGTAAACTACGAGGAAAAAGGAAAAGGAGAAAGGAAAAAAAAGAAAAGAATAGGAAGGAAAAGTAGAACGATTAAATGCGATATACAAGAATATTACCGGTACGAGGTGCAGAACCTAGGTGGTTGTACGATATAACAAAGCTTCTACGAAATACTTGAGGTGGCTGTATCCAAAATTCAGTTAAGGTTGAACGTAGTCACGCTAGGAATTGAATTAACAGGGTTAATTTCCATTCTCGCGCAGGACCGCGGAGTTGAGGCGGTAAGAGAGCAAGAATATTCCCGTAGAGGAGATCTACCAGGCGAATACGAAACAAGGACTGATGTAAATCTAATCTTCCGTAATATTAGCGAAAAGTTGAGAGAATTTCGTGGCCCCTATCTCGCCAACTAGAAGACCACGCGATGATCTTTATTAACGGCCACTTGCTCGTTCCGCTGCCTCCTTCTTCCTTTTTTTTTCTTTTCTTTTCTTCTTCTTTTCTTTTTTTTTTTTTTTTTTTTTTTTTTTTTGATATGACCCATAATTCGATCTTTCGTAACACGTTACGAAGATGTACGCGAAGAATTAGCTTTGATTATTTCAGATCGTGACCTCTCTCTCTCTCTCTCTCTCTCTCTCTCTCTCTCTCTCTCTCTCATTTTGGACACGGTATATCATTTGCTACATATATTTATTCCTTTAAATATGCAGATTTAATTCATTTAAATGACGGCTTTGTGTACTCAATTTTTAAATGGATAGATCGTCATCGTTAATATTCATTAAAGTCGCACATACTTGCTGATCAAAAATCGCTTACTCACAAAATCATCGAAAAAATGCTCGCGTAAGCGATATTTAAGATAAACTAACTATACCAATAGAAAAATCCATAGGGTGGCATTGAGATTGGCGTAAGACAATATACATACGTATATGTGTGTGTGTGTGTGTGTGTCTAAAACGAGAAACTCTAGTTTCGTAGTTTAAAGAAGAAATATGCAAAAACCGGAGGTTTCATAGCGAAGGCGGTGCATATCAAAGGGAGCTATCCTTTGCGTTAGAAAAGTGCATCGAACGCCTTCCAATGAAATTCCACCTTCCCTCTTTCGCATCTCTTCTTCTCTCGTTCTCTCTTTTGCTCCATCTCTTTCTCTCTCTCCCTCTCTCTCTCTCTCTCTCTGCATCCACATTTGCATGCACGAACCTAATCTCGCACTGCTCTTTTTCTCTGACTCGTAAAAGCACCGGTTCATTCGCGCCGTCTCCTTTCTCGATGCTCTTCCATGAAAAAAAAAGCAAAAGAAAAAAGAATAAGAATGCAATCGTTGTGCGCCGAGACTAAGAGGATCGATTCTTGCGTAAAGCACTTCGCTTAAAAGTTTAAAGCTCTTTTTCCTCCCTCCTACTCCTCTCTCTCTCTCTCTCTCTCTCTCTCTCACTTTCTCTTTTTTTCTCTCTTTCTCTCTCTTCATTCCCAAGTGAGTCGCTAATTAATTAGCGAAATAATCGTATACCTAGATAGACACAGTAACTGTAAAGACTAAAGGGGCTTTCCGACGATCGAAACGAATTATACGAAGCAATATTGTACATTAAAGTAAAGTTCTCTCGTCATTGTTTCTGGGAAATAAAAAAAAAATAAATAAATAAAAAAAAAAGAAAAAAAGAAAAAAGAAAGAAGAAAGAAAAAGAAGTAAAAAATCGAACATTCGCAGATCCTACATTTTTCGTTGAAAACGTACGGACGAATAAATAAATAATTTTAATTATATGAACGTTTTTACGAGAAGGTGATTTATTCCCAAGTATTTATTATCGGGCACAGTGCGCGTTTTGTTGGTTGGTAAATTATATTCGACGTTAACGGAAACCGCGATAACTGCTTCTTCAGTATCTACCAAAATCGATTATCAGTTTATAAAAGGGGCGCGGCTTCTTGTTTCAAGACGGATGGAAAATTTTAGTTGAAAGTACGAAGGAAGGAAAGAGAGAGAGAGAGAGAGAGAGAGACCAAACGGTTTCAGCATTTAATAAACATTCCGTAAAAGCCACAATTTCGCCGTAGGGCTAAAGGTAGAAGCGTTGAACGAGCGAGGGAAAACGAAGGAGAATGATCGGCCTGAGAGAATGCGTCAAGGAGGGTAAAATAAGAGGGATGGGGGTACGAAAACAATGGCATTTTTTTCCCATGAAAGACCAAGTTATCCTTTGGACATTCAAAGAGAGTAGTACCTCTCGTACTCGCTGTGAAATTCGATCGTACTAGATGAAAACCACAAATAATCAACCGAGCATTCTACCGTAGACTACAAAATTAATTAGGAAAACCGTTAATCGTGAACAAGTTTGCTAGTTCGTCCTGCGGTTGCGATCAACGGGCGAACTCACGCTGGCGATTATATTCACTTTATTAATGAAGCCGATTTAGCTGGATATCCAATGCGAGTTCAGGCTTCGCCTTCGCGATACACGCGATGTTCCACTTTTGCTTATAGCTCGAACGTATAGCGTTGAAATATCAAGGCAAAAATTTTCTCCTCTTCAAGGATATACCTATACTTTTATTTCTAAGCGTTTAACAAAAACACTAACCGGTTCGCGTTATATCTCTCTTACGTAAAATATTACGAAAAAGAACTTTAATTATTCATTAAGACTCGAAAATTGTTTTCGAAAATTCGATGATCCCCAGGAATGGAGTCTGAATTTTTCTTTCTTTTTCTTTTTTTTTTTTTGTTTTGTTTTTCTTTTTTTTTTCCCCCAGACAAATTTCGATATTTCGCACGAAAAAACGAAGTCACAGACGCGATAGCGAAATCGCAAACGCTATATTTTTACCGAAAGACGTTCTTTACAGAGCGGTGCATCTGTTCCATGGAAAATGCACGTGGCGAACAGATAGAGATATTCAGAGTCGCGGTCGAGTACATTGCGTCACTATAGGGAACCCCTGCGAGGGTGAATTTACATAAGCGGCTTTCCCCCGAGGCACAGCTTTTCTCCCGGTTCTAAACAAATATTGACCGGTCTAACCCCGTCTACCTCCTCTTTCTCATACATCCTCAGTTCAACCCTGTCGTCAAGTGGTCCATAGCTGACCAGGCATATTACGCGTAAACGCTTACGAAGGCGAGAAGCGAAGAAAAGAGAGTAAGAAAGAAAAAGAGAGAGAGGGAGAGAGAGAGAGAGGGAAAATCGCAAAGATAGGAGACACTTAACAAAAGATCTTACGATTAGATCTAAAATAGTAAAGAAAAACAGAGCTGTAATAATCATTATTATCTTTGTTTCAGAACGCAAGTTGTTCGTTGGCATGTTATCAAAAAAATACACCGAAAATGACGTCAGAAGCATGTTCAGCGTCTACGGAACGATCGAGGAGTGTTCGGTATTGCGAGACAATGCCGGACAAAGTAAAGGCTGTGCCTTCGTTACCTTCGCTAGTAAACAATACGCTATCAACGCCATTAAGGCCCTTCATCATTCGCAAACGATGGAAGTAAGTAAAATGTTGTGTTACTTAAAGTTGTCTCGATTCATATTTCTCCTAATCATTTGGCGTCTTTCTTAAAAGAATTTACGATATCCATCGAGCTAATTTATCTCTTCGAACGTCATATTTCACGTATCAAAATATAAGATGTTCGTTGAAAAGTGCAAATATTTGGCAAACTGAACGATTTATATATCAGAATCTATAATCCCTTATGCATTTTATGAGCGTTTAAATATTACGATTTTTTATTATCCTCTCTAAATCATTTTTTAACGAATCAGTAAAATCGAGACGATCCATTATACGAGTTTAGACAAGATGATCTACGGTTGATACGAACGAAAAATGTTCGAGTAGGAAGAAATGCATTTTACGTAGATAACTTATTGTTACTATAAGAAGAAGAAGGAGGAGGAGGAAGAGGAGGAGGAGAAGGGGAAGGAGGAGGAGGAGGAAGAGGCATCGTTAAGACTTCGCGGCTCGTTTCTTTTCGTGGCGATTCAGCGAGCTTGACGGACATTGGCTCGATGCCATTATCATTCGGAGGAACGTCCGCACATAGTCATCGCACAACCCCGGCTAGTCACCTCGTCACAGTGATATACCGATTTAACTTGGGGTAACCAAAACCGAGCGAAGAAAAAATAGGAAAGATCTTGTATTAGACGACACCTTTGCGATTCGAAACACGCCATCGTGACTTTTCCGCCTTTTCTTTTCTCGTCCGCTCGTCTTGGTTGACATCTTGTTTGCTCTTAGCCTTCTACGACTAAATCGGATTGATTACACGAGGCTACGTCATCCAATCTTTTCCACTAGTTTCTATTAGGCCTATATTCTTAGCAGGTGTAAGAAATTCTACTAACGGTACTACTCAATTAATTAATTCAACAACACCGTTGATCAATGGATGCTTCGTATATTTTTTACCAGTCTGTTTATTCAATTATAATACCGTAGGTGTAAAAAAGAAAAAAAAATATCTCAAAATAAATCACATTTAAGGATCTTTCTTTCGTCAAATGCATTATTATATTTTTAGCCATGAAAAATAGATAGTTTCTCTTCTTTAACGATGTATTAGTAGGAAACGTCATTAGTATTCCAGAAACGAAATAGCAACCACGTTGTCTCTGAAAACTTTAATGAAACCGCATGCATATATGGAATACGTATGCACAAGTCATGCCTGATATCTTCGTACCTGACATCCTCGTTGTTGAATTAATTAATAGATTTGATGCTTTTGGTTTTTTTTTTTTTTGTTTTTTTTTGTTTTTTTTTTTTAATTTTCGTTTTGGATCAAGAAAGAATCATGCAAACCTATTGTCTATTTCTTGAATCTATGTCGATCTCTTTCTAAAATGCATCTACGAGACCTGGAAAAAGTTAGGTTTCTTCTTTAACAGCTTTTCCAGCGGTAGTGCTGGTGCGATCGTTAAAGTGAAAAATAATGTCAGATACTTAAAGGAATTGGCTCGGGTAGGCGAGTCGCAAAATGCATTCCGCATACTCCATGGAATTGTTTCGTTAGCCGTACTGATGCTACCGTTACGCCTATGTCACGTGCTATTTCGAATAGTAAAAGCGAGCCGTGCCAAGGCATGCGAGCACGACGACAATTCCATTTTAATATCATGAATATTTCCGTATTCGAGTTCCTCGAACTTCATTCTCTTCTCCGATCACCCGGTTTAATAATTTGTATTTTATTTTAATCGATCTGTCATCTTTCATGCGGTAGATTCGAGCATTCCATTCAAATTCGTTCATAATTCGAATTATTAAAAATAATCCTATCTCGAAAGGAATCCTCTCGTTTTAACGTATCCACTTACGGCCGAACTTATGAACCAGTATTTCCGATGATCTAACCCGACGGTCTATCGTCGTTCGTCACGATGAATTTAAAATTGAAAAGAATAAAAAGAATAAGAATGAAGGAAACAATAATTTTCCATGAATTTCATATCCGTATAAACCGTACGACTCGCGAGCTCATATCTGAATAAGCAACGTTCTACATTTCCCGTATTACAAAATTTTACATGCTTTTCAGGGATGCTCATCACCTCTGGTTGTGAAATTCGCTGACACACAGAAGGAAAAGGATCAAAAAAGGATGCAGCAAATTCAAGCGAATCTCTGGAATATCGCGGGAGTCAACATGGCGCCGCATTACCTGACGACGGTCCGTATATCTTTAATATTTCACAGCGAACCTTTTTCCTCGAAATCAACGATTCCATTTGCATCAAGGGACGAAATAAGTTTTCCATAAATTCGCGATCGCCGAACGAAAACATCTCGAGTTTCGTGAGAACTTTTCTTACTTTCTTATCTTACATGGATATATATATATATATATTTTTTTCCTTTTCTATTTACATATGTATATATGTAGATAGACAAAATTAAAGCGAAAGGAAATTGACGCAATCATTTGCAAGTAAATAAAACTCGAATAATAAAAAATTGATCTTTCCTTGATCCCGAGATTGATGGACGATGATTCGATTTTATTATTTACGAAGGATAACAAGATTCTCTCGAAGAAAAAGCAAAAAAGAAAAAAGGAAAAGAAAAAAAATATAAGAATAAATGGTTTCTAAAACGTTTTTCAGGGTGAGACGCATACGCTGGCGCCGTCGTCGTTGCAGTTGTTGCAGCAGTTGCAAGCGACAACGAGTGCGGCCACCCCGGTGGCCGCCGGCGCCGGAGCGAACGCTCTCTCGAGTGTTCAGCATCAGCTGTTGTTACAGCAGCACCTTGGCCTCGGTGCAGCTACCCCCGCACACGCCGCTCCACCTGCTGTTCCAAGTCCACCGGAGATTAATCCTGCCAATCTCCAGGGTCTAGCGACTCTCGCGTCCCTCGGTAACTCCGCTGGTGAGTATGGTCAGTGTCCATCATTTTCATTTTATTTTCGCTTTTTCGATCCCGATATCAACGATCTCTCTTGTACCCTTCTTCCTTTTCCTTTACTTCCCATATCTCGTCAATATATATATATATATATATATATCAGTTTCATGTTACAAATCTTTATAGATATTTCAAACATGATACGAATCCGCAAAGAATCCACAATTTGTCCTGATAATAATAAGATTGAATATTTTATATATACTTGGGAATCGTGCCAAAGTCTTACTTGGCTCGAACGTCACGTGAATGTAATTATTAAAGCGATTTAATATACGTGTTTATCGTATGCTGCTGAAAAACCGATGGTCATTTGATGACGTTATCGTTACATCCGCGGAAAAAACGGTGCCATTACGAAACATTCTTTTAACATAACAACGTACATACATACGTATTTACTTATACCTTATTCTTTATCATTTACTTAACAAACTTTTCCGATTGACAATTATTTTATTTTATTTTATTTTACGATTATTTTACGTATACGATGAATTCTTTCAAATTTTTCCATTCATGCGATAATAATTTCGTTCAAACTAAACGCAGTTTTTATCAAATTTCAGCAAATGCTGGGGTATCACCCATGAGTATGCAAAATCTTGTTACATTGGCAGCTATGACTGGCGGAAACGGCAACCTTCAAGTGTCACCAACCAGTGAGTACTACGCATTACGAAACATTGCGTGTGGCTTATTAAAAAATTTTTATTAATCGTTAGAGATAAGATATTGGTTAATATTATCTATTGAAATTTATTTTACGTACAAAACGAAATGATCGTGTATGTTCTTCTTCGGCTCGAAGATAAAAAAGAAAAAAGAAAAAAAAAAAAAAAAAAAAGAAAAAATAGACAAAACAAGAAAGTGATAAAAATTAGAGTCGATTAAAAAGGAGAATATACCGTCAACGTGCACTAGTAATTATTATGCTTCTTATACATTATTACATGTTGATCAGCATTCACGAGAGAAAAAGAAAATATCGCTTAAACTTCGTTAATCGTTAATGATCGCATGCATTATTATAATTCCAGGAGAGTAGGTGAACTGTTTAAGCTTTAATAGGTATGCATGGAAACCCAAAGTTCAAAATGGCGGAGTGTGAGCGAGCGCAGCAAATACCCTTTCAACGTTTATATGTATTAACGTTATACTTTAACTCACGTATTCGCTTGTTGTATACTTTAGTATTTAACGTATCAGAATTTTGTGTGCGTTGCAATATATACATGTATACACGTAAATTGGTATTATAATCGATAAACATTGATTGACCGGAGTAGTTGGAGTTGTATGAAAAGAAAAAAAAGAAAAAGAGGAGAAAAATTTCTGATGGATCTTAAATCTCACGAGATACTTTCGAGTAGCCTGAAAAATGTATATATGTAATACATATATCGGACAATTTCATACATTCGTCACTAACGTTGCTTTGCTAATGTCGTGAACGTGTTCTGTGTTTCAGCGTTAAGCGGACTGGCGAATTCGACAGCAGGTATGTCGCTATGTACGTGTCCCATTGCCTGGTACAGTATTAACAATTACTAAATTAATTTCGATCATACCGAGGACCCTAACTCGTGCAACGGTCTGATTTTCCCATTTCGCTTATTTAATAGTACATACATGTAGACGTATAGGCATACTACCACATCCAAATATAGTATTTCATCTTTCTCTACAACGTTTCAATTTCCACGATGTACTATCTCGTACGCGGTGAATATGACGTAATGTGAATGCGTCGATTATTATGGCTGTAGGATGCCAAATGAATATTTCAATGTAATCGATTAATGGAAGAAATTGAATTTTCGAAAATTCATGAAATTATAGAGCAATGACAGATGCGTTTATAGACTCCCAAAAACCGCGAAAATGATTACAGTCAATTGGTGACCGTGTTACCATATTCATTCATCAACCGTCATTGAGCCAAAGTAAGATACATTAGGAATATTAATTCGGTTGTATCTTTCTTAGCCGATTTTAATATTCCGTACCAAAATGATATATACTATCTCTTAAGTTATCTTTTTTTAGAGATTAGCCTCCTTTTTCTTTTTTTATATATATATATATATACACATATATTATATATATCCAATCAATCAGTCGTCAGTATTTTAACGATACGCATTTTTTTTCGTGCTTAGCTGCCCTACTCGGGAAGACAGGAAGTACAGGTGAGAATTTACGGAAAACGATATTGTATCGTTGTTCGTCCATCTACTTCGTTGGTTTGCTCGAATGATCCCTTCCTTCGTATTGCATTCTCGTATTATTACGAGAGTTCTTATCTATATCTTTTACTTTGATCCTTTCCTCAATTTATAACCCGTTCGTTTTTGTGTAAAATTTATATTTTTCCCGCACTACTGCTTTGTTTTTTTTTCCTCACCTTTCCCCCCCCACCTATCCCCGTCAAAAAAGTGGTACTAATGGCGTATTATTTGCGAATAAAAAAGAACTCACCTTGGCTCGAACAAAATTTGATTCGTAATATATGTCCATATCCGATTTTAAAGAGTTTTCCAATAACCTGCAACACACTATACACCAATTTAAAGTTATAATAACTTATTAATGATGATTTGTATATACATATATATATATATATCATATAGTGAGTATTTATTCGAAATGTACAGTCATGGACGTATTTAACTTGTACAAGCTTATTGCAATTAACGAATGCTCAACGTATATCGAATTAATAACCCATTTCTCGTTGTGTAAAAAAAAAGAAAAAAAAACTACAGAACAATGGTAGATAAAGTATTGACCATACTCATAGTAGAGATAGAATGTCAATGAGATATTATTATATGTGTACCATATTTTTATACGATACTAATCCGATATTTATCGATATACTAAATCCATTTATTATTATCGCTAAAAAGTTAACAAGGATTAAATAGTGAGGGTTGTCCCAACGTCGTAGCATGCAGCATGTTTAGAAAGTTATTATTTTATCGTCGATTAAAGGGCGACCGAATTTAAGCACGATTAACATGTTTTTTTTAATATCAAAAGATGGAAAATAAATAGACCTTTGTATTCATTTTAAAGGGTCGACCGGTGGAAGCCTAAGTCCTGTAACGTCACTTGCGCTTAATTCCTTGACAGGAGCACCTTTGAACGGATTGCAGGACTCTCTGAGTAACGCTTATTCGAGCTTGCAGCAATACGCAGGTAATTGTTTTTAAATCATTTTAAAAGCGTGTCGTTATAAACGACAAAAGCATTGTATGTATAACTATACTATATATATATATGCACATATATATGTATATAAATGTTATAATCTGCATTGATCGTAAAGGTGCATTTTCTAACGAGTTAACTGTGCGCATTAAAGCTCTCATTGGAAAGACGACGGTGACCGTGGAAAAGAAAGAATTGCATAGTGAGTAAAAATAAAAAAATAAGAAAAAAAATATATATATATTTAAAAAAAAAAAAAAAAACAAAAAGAAAAAAAAAAGAAAGAGTAGAATTGCCAACGCTTAGCTGTGTAAAACGTGCAGTACACTCCGTCATGCGCTATTCCAGTATTTTTAGCCGTCCATCTGGTTCACTTCCGAGCGAATAAAACGACTCTATGCCGATGCACCAGGGCCCGTGTCGTTTATTCGAACGAGTAATCTACATGGACAATTTAGATAAAGCTTCAGTACGAGAATTGTGTTCGTGAAATGGTCGATTTTCGAGATACTTCGTCTTTTTGAGAAAAAATAAAATAAGAAGAAGAAAAAAGAATTTACGAGTATAAAATATAAAACTCCGAAATATAAAATATAAAATATTCAATCAAAATTGAGCTTTGTAACGAAACGAATGTCATAATTTGATTTCTTTTTTTTTTGTTTTTTTTTTGTTTTTTTTTTGTTTTTTTTGTTTTTTTTTTTTTTTTTTTTTTTTTTTTCCAAAAAGACGAAGCATCTCGAGGAATGAACGTCGGAAGAACGTAAAATAAACATGTTCATGTTCTTACGACTACGATCGAATACAATAATATAGTATTATCGTATAAATCCGTGTCATCCGCTGAATCGAATTTTATTATTTCAGGGTTCCCGGCATTCACGGCGGCAGCGGCTGCAGCAGCAGCGGCGGCGCAAAATTCGAGTTTCAGTGCCGCTGGCAAGCAGATCGAGGGTCCTGAAGGTGGTAACCTCTTCATCTACCACTTACCGCAGGAATTCAGTGATACCGATCTAGCTTCTACCTTTCTACCTTTCGGCAATGTCATATCCGCCAAAGTTTTCATCGATAAACAGACGAAATTGAGCAAATGCTTTGGTGAGTTTTGAATTCCGAAAGAAGGGAAAAAAGTATTTCGTTGAAAGTTAGTTAATAAATCGTATCATAGTGTTATAGAATTGTCGATTGAACGAGAACGGTCATATTTCTTTCAGGTTTCGTCTCGTACGACAACTCTGCGAGCGCGCAAGCAGCGATCCAGGCGATGAACGGTTTCCAGATCGGCACGAAGCGACTTAAGGTTCAATTGAAACGATCCAAGGATGCTTCGAAGCCATACTAGTTGACATCATCCTCGAGCGTTCGTAGGTAGATACCAAGGACTATGGATATTAGAGCTTTGGTCTTACTATATCAGTTAGCAATATCTATTTTTCTCATAGTCGGACTCGTATTCGCGCGATTAGTTTCTGGTTAAATCGTAACGAGAATAACAACCGACTTACGGGATTTTTTCGACTCCTCAGGCAGACAGGGCCGCCATTACGATTCGAAGGAGCTATCGGAAAACAGTATTTCTTCCTTGGACGTGCAACCACGTACGATCCTCTAGTCAAACAGTATTTATAGAAGAAAATCGAAGTAACGATAAGGCGCGGTGTCCAAGAAACAACGACTTACCGGCGTCGCTCGGTCGTATCGTTTATTTCACTTATAGATCAAAGCTAGGCTCTCCCCGTTCCCTCCCAACGCTACCCCCAATTCCCAAATTGTAACGAAGCTGTGATACTCGAAAAGACTTTTTTTCTTTAGATTTTTTACGAACGAGAATTAAAGTATCGTCCTTTTTAAATTTTGCTTTCTACCATATATGTATATATACATATAACTCGGCTTTCTCTCTTTTATTCCGTCCTATTCTACATATATATATATTTTATAATATATACTTTTTATATTTATCAACGTGTTTTAATCATTTCGTTTCTAATCATACATACATATCTATACATATTACATATACATATACATATAAGCACACATATATATATATATATATATATATATATATATATATATATATATATATATATGATCGCGTTACAGTCGTTGTCAAGAAAGTTCTATGATATTTTGCAACCGTGATTAAATAAATAATAGTCAGTAGCTATTATTCATAGGTCTTTCGCAGGACGTATACACGTGTATTAAATAGAGAAGAAAGGATAAACTTGAAATCAAATCTCCTCTCACAAATCACCTATATTTGTCGTACGCTATTCATTTATCGTACCAATAACGCGCTTTCGATGTTCGTTCCTTCGACTTTCGAAGGTACGACAGAAGTACCTATTCCCTCGTTCAACCCCCTTTCTAAGTTGTGTAATCAAACTCGTTTCGTTGCAAAAGGCTGCCAGTTTAAAGCTTACTGTGCTAACTCGTTGCACAAAGTGAAGTTACGTACGTGAAGTTTACTAACAGACACATACATACATACATTATACACAACATACGGCTTTGTAGATAACTATATATATAAACACGGACACACACATACACACACACACATATATATATGTATATATGTATATGTGTATATATATATATATATATATATAGTTTCGCTTCGAAAATTTTCACGCAACGTCGGTAGTAACATTAATCGTGGAATGAAAAATTCTAGCTCCTTAATTTTCTCGTTCGAATCGTCTCATTCGCACGTCGTGAATCCATGCCGTTGAACATTTACGGGATGCACGAAATTCTCGATGCATACCCATCTCGCTATTATATTATTCACTAAGCCTTATTTATGGTTAATCACGCTACTAGTACGCTTCTATTAGTTGGTAAAGACTAACAACCATTGCCATGTGTTTTCGGAATGCCGGTGCCCGTCGCGTGCTATTCGACACCGTCGTCTATCGTTCTCATTTGAATGTACAAAACATATTATACATACGATATACATATGTAGATATCTAATACATTCCCTTCTCCAAGGGAGAACTAATTTTTCAAATGAAGGGACTATCAGAAACTCGTGAGAACTATCGGCGAATTGTGGTGCTGCTTTTGTCGCGAGTGATGCGAACGAGGCCCCAAATAAATATATATATATATATATGTGTGTGTGTGTGTGTGTTGTGCACGTACCACGTTTGATGATTATTCAGAACGATTTCGTAAACGACGTCGAACTGCGACGGACGGGAACAATTCGCGAAGTCAAAGCAATTTTGGGTCCTCGTTTGTTGAATCTCAGTCTAAAATCGACGACGGTCCGGACGTAGTTATACCTGTGTGCACGATGCACGGTGTGTTTTCGTACCTCTGAAAAGGCTTCGCAAATGGGCATTTGTAATCTAGTGGGGCTAGCTAGTCTTTCAGGTTTTCCCTTCGCTAATGACGAGAACGCTCGCGAAAGGAAAACTTGGATGGATAGCTAGCTAGCTGGCTGGCTGGCCAACTAGGTGTAGCTTGTGTGCCCTTTTATCTGTCTCTCTGTCTCTCTGTCTCTTTCTCTCTCTCTCTCTCTCTTTCTCTACTTTTCTAATCTCGTCGAAAGAGCGAGGAACGATCGACTAAAGAGAAAGTTCGCTTTGCGTGGCCTCAGAAAGGTACGAGCTATCCAGCGTGCATCTCGCATCCGAGGATATCCTACATATCTGGTGTGTGGTGGTGACTAACCTGTCCGTGTGTTTGTTTGTGTGCCAGCAGGTGGCCTGTGACGTTGTGACCGTGTACTCTCGATCGGAGTCGCCGTGCCATGTCAATCTCAGTCAGTCAGTCAGTCAGTCAGTCAGTCAGTCAATCGATCGGTCGATCGGTCAATCGATCGTCTTCGATCGTCGACCAAGTCGGTCAATCAGTCACGACTGCTTGGTCAGTCTCTCGATCGGTCTCTCTGTGTCTGTCGGTGCTGCCTGTACAAAAAAAAAAAGAAAAAAAAAAAGAAAAAAAACACCAAAAAGAAAACACACAAAAACAAAAAAAAACATAACCACCACTCCCCCATCTTTCTCTCTAAGACTAATTGGTCACCGTTGTGTCCAACCATTCCTGGCAGATCATCACCAAATTCTCCTGCACTCTTCCTATCTTATCCTTCGACTATTATCTCCTTCGCAGAGAGAGAGAGAGAGAGAGAGAGAGAGAGAGAGAGAGAGAGAGAGAGAGAAAGAAAGAGAGAGAGAGAGAGAGAGAGAGAGAGAGAGAGAGAAATCCATTCGTGTGCCTGCGAATTTTGCGCGGAACTGCCTGCGATTCGACGCGATCTTTAAGCGTGGTTAAAATAATGGGAACGAGAGCAAAGGAATCCTTGTTGATCGTCAAGACTACTTCTGAGCAGTACAAAGTATTTCCCGTGGGACAAAGAAGAAAGGAACAAGAGGAAAAAGAAGAAGAAGAAGAAGAATAGTGGTGTTCTAATGACGCAGAACGAGAGGATTCCGAATAAGCGTACGAAGCTCGAGAGCAAAGAGAGACCGAAACGGAGCCCAAGCGCGTCCTACCAGGATTCAAACAGATCCTTCGGGTCTGGGAAAAAAAATCTGCGACTATTCTTCCTCTCCTGTGATGTGTACGTACATATACGTAAACGTGTTTTATTCCTCGTATCACGGTCTAAAGTCGAAAAGAATAGGATCCTGAGGGTCTTAGACGTGAAATACCCTTTCTTGACGTTCCAATAGGCTAAGAAAGGATCGTTCTTTGGACCGCCAGACTCGAGAGAAAAAGAGACAAATAGAAGAATGGAAAAACGAATGGGAGGAAGATAGGACGTAACGCTGCGAGAATACATTAGATACATATATATATATATATATATACATATAGATATATATATTATTATGTATATTAATCGTTGACTGAGATTTATTTTTATCGGCTCACTGTCGGAGTCCGCCGTCGGTGTCGAAGCGCCTGTTTGTATACATACGTGCCGGCAATTTGGACATATATAGATAGTAGATGTGTAAAGAATAAAAAGAAAAAAAAAACAACTAAAAGAAAGAGGTATAAATTAAAAAGAAAAAAAAACAAAAGAGTGTATGGGGCGGGGGGGGATAAAACCCGGGTAAGCGGGTGTGGGGAAGATAGACCAATGTTGAGAGTACGTCGAGTCCTTTGTTTGACTCCTTTGATGTGCGAGGACTTGTTGCGCGTTATGTATCCAGATTCTGCGAATATACCAAAAATCAAGAAAAATAAAAAAATGAAAGAAACGTAAAAGACGAAAGAAAAGATAAATAAAATAGAGCCGACATACACGCTCACTCACTAATTCACACACTCTCACATACACATACTCACAACACATTCTCACATTCTAACAGAGGAAAAAAGCGAAAAGTAGTAGTAGAAAAGACAGAGACATATGTAAGAGACATTTTGTAATTGACTTTGTGATAAGACTGTATCATATCTAGGATCGAACTAGGATCGCTTTTTAATAATAAAAAGCCGTGCAATTAAGGGCCTGATAGGAAACGACAGTAGGAGCGAGTGAATGGAAAATGAGAGAAAGGGAACGAGCGAGTGTGAGCGAGAAAGAAAGAGAATATCGATGGGACACCTTGAAATTTTCGGAATTTCCGTCGATCGAATACGTATTATTTAAGAAACGCGCGGACTCGTTTAAGAAATAAATGAAATTAAAACATCATTATGGCATCGAGAACGCATGTGAGTAACATATTCAGCCGCGTTTCCCGATCCACGTCACGTCCGACTCAATCTCGTAGACTTACATTCAACGAGAATTTTCAAAATTCGACGCGGTCGAATCTCGAAATTTTACCCGATATTAGGCATAACACGTACGATACAATATTGATTTTTATTTTTCGGTTCTCTTACAAAAAATCGACTACGCGTTGTTGTGATTTGATGAAAAAAGTTGATAATTTTGAAATTACAATCGTATTACTAAAATATGTAGAAGAAAAACAATGAAACGCAATTAAAATAAATGTAAAGAAAAGAAAAAAAAAGAAAAAAAAAGCACGTCTGATTAAGGGTTAATTAGATTAAATAAGAACTCGAGATTCGACGCCGAACAAATTAACATTCCTTCTTCCACTACACTCTCGTAACAACGTCGGGAGACGAAGAATCAAGATAAAGAAAAGAAAGAGAGAAAAAAGAAGAGAGGGAGTGAAAAAGAAAAAGAGGGAAAGTGAAAGAAAGATAAAGAGAATGGATTCGCAATCCCCTAGTCTATTTGTTTTGTTCGTGTCTATCGTTCGGTCGCCAATTTTTCTAACATCGATGCATCATTTTTGGATTTCGTCCCACCATTCGTCTCTTTCTTCGTTTCTTCTTCTTCTTTCACGCGTTATTAATTATTATGTGAGTATTTTGATGTGCGTTCGCGCGCGTGCACCCTCACACACACGCACATGCACACACATACACGCGCGCGCAAAAAAAAAGAAACATATACACTTGCAGACACATATGCGTCAAACCAAATGTGCGAAGCGTCCAGCGTCTTGGCAAATTATTTTTTAAGAGAGAAAAAAAAAAATAAGAAGGCATATGACAGACAAAACAAACGTAAGACGCAACGCGGTTTCGCGGTATTGACGCTGCGACGCTTCGCGTTAAGTTACCAAAGACGTGTCTTTAATTAATCAATGTACTTATGCCAAGGCTAACGACTAATCAACACATTGATCGACATGATGACTAACAAAGTGAGAAATCGGGCACGCGTCGTCTTGTTTGTAGTATCTCACCTCCACTTTTACACTTCACACGTACATTTATACATAATTACACGTATAATACATGATACACGTAAACAACAACAAAACTAGAGCCTAGTCAAAAAAGTATCGTTTGCGGTCATTAATATCGCCTATATAACATATATATGTTGTGTCGTCACGATGAACCCTGGCACAAGCGTTTTTATTAATGTCTGTGCTACTAATGTTTCTTCGGATCACTATTATCGTTATGTCCATTTTTACCGCGCTGCTGATTAACGTCATTGTTATTATTATTATTATTATTATTATTATTATTATTATTATTATTATTATTATTATTATTATTATTATTATTATGATTATTATTATTATTATTATTATTATTATTATTATTATAATTATTATTAGTTATTATTATTATTATTAGATATATGCTATTTTTATTATTATTACTATTATTATTATTATTATTATTATTATTATTATTATTATTATTAATACTGTATTATCATTAATAGCTAGGAGCATTATTGAATATTATCGATACTCTAAGTTACTACAATCATTTATTATCACTTATATGTATTATCGACACTAAGTCGCGACGTATCAACGTCGATCGCTAGTTAATTCGCTTAATAATATTTTTTGGCAGTCGGCACATGTCACGACGCATCAGGCAGGTACTTCTACGTATGTATAATATGCGTTTTTCGCAAAGGATATTCGTTGCAATTGACTACGTTTTATTATAAGAATAGTGAAGAAGATGTGCCCTCATATAATGAAGGCAATTATCAGTCAAGCAGAAATCACTCGTAATGTTGCGTACTTTCGTTGGCGGGCAGACTTAAAAAAAAAAAAAAAAAACAACGATTTTTAGTAAACGAATCGAAATTAATTATGATCGTTTAATTTTTCAATGTACTTAACGTTCGACAATCGCGAGATAATATTTCTGAGTTCTCTCTCTCGACACAGTTTCTAGATTAACATACTTAAAGAAAATTGTAAGAAATCTTTTAACGGCCTGAAATAGAGGTCTTTAGTTCTGTTACCTCGTAAAATTAATCGCGAGTGTAAAACCAAAAGCAAAAAAAAAAAAAAAAAAAAAAAAAAAGGAAAAAAAAAAGAAAGAAAAAAAGAAACAAGGAAGAAAAAAGAAAAAAAAAAAAACAAAAAATATTGCGAATACGTGGAGAGCGCGAGGACAAAACGCAATCGTTAGATACGTCTAACGAAAAGGAAAAGGAGAATCAAACGCATCATCGGTGAATCTGCTCGGCTTCGAAGTTATGCGAGACGTCGTTACGCAGCTTATCATGGCACACACGAGCATTATTGGCCTTATAATTAACCGCTGTTATTAGTAATATTATTACCCGACCTTTAAACTACACACGTACATACATACATACACGTGCATACACATACAAAAGTACATATGGCATAACGTTTATTTTTTAAAGCTAAAGTTATTACCTCCTAAGACTATCGTTACCGATGAGTATACCTCGTCTTTACAATCCCCCTCGTTAATAATTTGTTGTACTTCTTTATATCATGTCTTTTTTTCCTTTATCTCGTTTTTTTTCTTCTTTTTTTTTTTCTTTCTTTTATAGAGTTCGTTTGGTTTTGTTTTCTTTTTTTTTTATTATTATTATTATTATTATTATTATTATTATTATTATTATTATTATTATTATTATTATTATTTTTCCTTTTCTTTTTTTAGTTTTGTTCGTCTCTGCCACGTTTACCTTCTTCTTTTCGGTGCTCAAATACATGTATATTTCTTTACATGTACTCCTTTTTTTTAAGTGCAATCGCACTGATGAGACGAATCACGAAGGCGTTTCGTGAAAAACGCGTGAAAGATTCTCGTTGCTCGTCTTAGGGCAACGTCAAGTGATCGGATTACAGGACATGCGAATTTGTACGCGATACGTATATGTAGTAGCATCGTCGTAAATTACTTTGATGCGAACATTTTTAAAAGAAGAAATAAAAGCGTTTAGAATTTTTATAAATTTATAATCGGTCGAATGTGGCCGTTTTGTTTTTAAGAGTATCCGTTCGCATGCACGCGCCCTGACCGAGTTCGTATCGAAGTAATTTCTGTTTCTCGATGGTATATAAAAAATGCAGATCGATCGATCGATCGATCGATCGATCGATTTCCATCTCTGTCTCCCTTTTTGAAACGATTTTAATTACTCACTGTGAAATCTAATGAAATTTGTTAAGGTGGTGATCTCATCGCACATATACAAATAACAAATATTAATTTTTGATTCGTGGTAGCATGTTACGTCGTTCCGTTATTTCGTTATTTCGTTATTTCGTTATGCATTGCATTTGTGTTTCAAAGGGGAGGGGGGAGGGGGGGACGAAAGATCATATTAAAAAAGAAAGAAAAGAAAAGACAAAGAGAGACGATCGATCTGCATATTTTCACTTCGTGCGTGTCGTGTTATATCTCACGTGCGTATGTGTATGTGTGTTTGTATACACACTTCGTGTATATATATGTATACATATGTGTATATATATATATACATATATCAAGAGATGTGGATATATTTCTTTTTTTTTTCTTTTCTTTTTTTTTTTTTTTTTTTTCATGTATACGCGTATGTACATATGCGGATAGATAAATGTACACATTCACATGTGCAAATCCGTACGTTTATGTTTCCGACATTTTCGCGTTATATTTCTCTTTATTATTTTATTTCGTTTCTTTGCCAAACGCAAGAAAAAAAAAAAAAAATAGACGGCCGGCGAGAAGAAGAAAAAATAAGTATCGTTTCGAATTATTGTCGTACTTTAATTTCTTTGGTTTCTTTTCCAGTCGGACTGCGCGATTAGCATGTGGCGTATGTTGAAATAACAATATATATATATTTATTTTGTTGGTTTAATTTTTATTCGCTTTATTGCCATCCCCTTCCTCACTCCCTCAAATTCTCGTGTTTGGCTGTATACGGTATAAAAAATATCATCTTTTAGGCTTTTCTATGCTACTTTTGTTAACGCTCCGATATGCCTATGTATCTGCATATTCGTTAAATGATTCGAATGTAATCATCCCTGATCGATCGCAAATAAAAGAAAAAAGAAAAAAGAAAAAAGAAAAAAAAAAGAAAAGAAAAGAAATAAAAAAAAAAAAAAAATACGAAGCATCGTATCGACCGATGTTAAATAATAAAAATATTAATAAATGAAATTATTCTCGCGATTGAGAGATATCGGATATAATTTAGCAGATACCTTCGCTAAATCCTTTTCGATTAACAAAGGGAGCAATAAAAATGTCGTGTGCGTAACTCTCTCTGCTAATACGTTTATCACTGCATTCACATCTTCTTTTACTTTCTGTATTTCATCTACTTGCGTGTATAACGCCAAAATATTCTAACTATAAGTATTTTAATAATGCTCTTGCATATCATCGCGCGATATGTATGTACGTACAAAAGAAAGAAAAAAAAAAAGAAAGAAAGAAAGAAAGCGAAGAAAGAAAAGAGCAAGATAGACACGCTGTGCGCTTGGCGTTATCAATGAAAAGAAAGAAAGAAAAAAAAAAAAAGAAAAAAAGAGAAAAGAAAAGAGAAGATAAAACAAAATAAAATAAAAGATAAAATAAAAACGCGTGTAGGGAAAACGAGTACGAGAAGAAAAAAAAAAAAAGAAAAAAAGAAAAAAAAACCAGAAGGAAGAAAATACATTTTGAACGAAACACTATGGGAAAACATTTGGAACGTATTTACGTGTGTATTACATACTTTCTTATACATAATATACTTATAAATTTCTCTTCGTAAAAGAGCGTTCGAAGAAGAACGAAACGGGTGTAGATTTTGGGCTACGTGCAACCTTTGAGAGACGATATAATTATTGATTTTTTAAAATCACGAAAATAGAATTTTGATACATTGTATACATTTTGTATATAGAAAAATATGCTATGTACGTTCGATCCATGGATGTTTACTGTATTCTACCTAATTTCATTCATTCTTTACACTGTGAGATACCCAAATTTTTCCCGCGTTGACGCGTACGCAAGGCGTATATATACACATATACATATATATACATATATATACATATATATACATATATATATATATATAGGTATGAATGTAAGTATGTATGTACATAAAATACGTACATACGTAATGTGTACGTCGTTTATATTCGAGGATGTACTTAAAGGCCAAATTTGAGAAAACAAAGTTCATCGGTATATATTGAAAAATGAAAAGATACACCTAAATATAGGCTCGTATTCTTATCGCTTTATTCGTAAACAAATCGTACGTATAATATGCGTAGGTAGATCATCACGATAAAGCTGAGCATCGAACACTATTCCTTCTTCGTGTAAGCTAATTGATCGACGCGATAAAGGGTAAGGATGCGAATCTAAAAAAATCTACGAGCGTATTATTCTTAAGTAATTCATCGCAATGCGCGTCGCAAACTCTGAAAATGTGATTATCTTTCACCCTTAGGATTATATAAAAAAAAAAAAAAAGAGAAAAAAAAAAGAAAAAAAAAATAATGTACAGAATGCACAAGGAACTATAACAATCACACGGAATGAAGAAGTCATAATAGATACACACAGACACTGTACATAATTCATATGTAGTCGATAAGAATATTTTTTGTACGTAGTCAATTTAGAGTAAAAATTCTATCGCTGCATCGCGCCAATTCGTTCTTCGCCACTCTTTACGAAAAAAAAAAAAAAAAAAAGAAAAAAAAGAAAAAAAAAATTCAAATGCGAAATTCATTATGAACGAAATGAATTATCTTGTATTTTATTTTATTAACGACGACGATATTCGTATTTTCTCCTTTCCCCTTTGATACTTTGATTATCAACGATTGTTTCTAATCGATTTCGAGCTTGAGAATAATTCTCTCCACGATCTCCACGTTCTATCGATAATATTTTATTCCTATCAAATCTCGGAACAAATTCAAAACAATTTATATTATATTTGTTCGGTATCTTATTAAAATTAAAAAAAAAAAAAATAATGAAATATGGAATATGAGAAAAAATTTATATTGCAAAATTATCATATTATTAATATCGACGATCGATGATATATGGCATGTAAAATCGTTAAATCTATAAACGACATTAATGTCATCTCTATGATTGATCTATATCTCTGCCGGAATTATATTTTATTTGTATCAATTGTGTAAAATGTTAAAAGAATAATTGATCCTTAAATCGAAAAAATTAATAGATTGTGTTTCCATATCGGCGATTTTTCAATTGCACCACGCTATTTCATCGATCAGCAAAAAACAGGATATAGTTGGCACAGCCTGAAGATTTTAGAATATTCAGAATTTTAATTAAACGAACAAATTGTTCTTGGCATCGCTTTGAAATACGTTAGTCAGAGTGAACGAGATGTACGCGATGAATATAATAACGCAGAGTATCGAGAGAGGGAGAGAGAGAGAGAGAGAGAGAGAAAGAAGAGTGTGAAAATGTTATGGGATCTTCTTTATCCATTAAAAATCGCTACGTTTTGACATGAATCGTTCATTAAAACTAATCTCCTGTAAATATTGCTCGTACATCGAACTGTTCTTGTAAATACGGATATTTCACTGTATGATGTATGATAAATAATGAATTTTCAACGGACCATATCATAGCGTTTGCTATTTCTCCTAGGTATGTATATAAAACAAGAATCGTAACATTTTCTTTTCGTTTATTTAATTATTTCTTCGTCGTTATTCTATCGTCTAATTCAATGCAAAAGTGGTCATAGTCGAAGACGCGTAGAAATACGAAAGCTTCTCTAATGAGGATAAATCTTATCAAGGAGAATGATCTTCGTTTGATGTTTCGATAATCTTGAATGTAATAACGAGGTGCAAAGGTAATGATCCAATAACGATCGGGCCACTCCTCATCGATATAAATGGTTTACGCGATTTTTAGGATAGCTTAACGTATATCGAAGAAGCTACGAATTATGATGTCTCTAAATATAATATCGATCTAGATTTTATATAACGCGTACGAGAGAGAATCTGAAAGATTGAAAGTAAGAAAGAAAGAGAGAGAGAGAGAGAGAAAGAGAGCATGCGAGTGCGCGTTGCAAAATACACGTTCGGCAGATTAATAAATCGTATTTTCGAGATATATTTTGTTCGTCAAATTATTATACCAACATCATGCGCCATCCCTGCCATCCTTAATAAAATATCCATAGATTTATGTCGATATGCACGAATTAAACGTAAACTTGATTACGTTCCTTCTTACTTAACCTTCAAATAAATTTATTGAAAAAAGGGAAAAAAAACGCAAAAATCTCGATTACTCATATTAATGCATAATAAATTTGAAAAGAAAGAATATCCCTTTACTTACATAAAAAAAGAATATCATTTACTCATTTTCCCTTTTTTTCAAATATCTCGTGTCGGCTTTTCGAAATTTTTTTTTTTCCTTTAGACTCATCGTTATAAACGGCTGCAAGCTCGTATTAAACGTACGATATTCAAACTGATACGGTATCTTTATATAATAATCAAATGAATGAAGAAAAAAAAAGATTGGCGAATAATTTTCTGCTTAATATCTAAATAAACATAATCAGTTACTAACCTGTTGAATGTTATCATTAGTATATAGATATCTAAGAACGAAAATAATTTTGAAAGCGTATCACGACAATAATCTTAAATCTTACGCGAGATCAGATATACCTTCGTATGCATACGCGCGACTAAATACTAACGGTTATTTTCTGGGCCGAAGCACACAAAGCTCGTATTAAACGTACATATTCAAACTGATACGTATCTATTTATAATAATCAAATGATTGAAAAAAAAAAAAAAGATTGACGAATGATTTTCTGCTTAATATTTAAATAAACATAATCAGTTACTAACCTGTTGAATGTTATCATTAGTATATAGATATCTAAGAACGAAAATAATTTTGAAAACGTATCGCGATAATAATCTTAAATCTTACGCGAAATCAGAAATACCTTTGTATTCATACGCGCGACTAAATACTAACGGTCATTTTCTAGGCCGATGCGCACAAAGCTTTCTCATTGGTTGATATTAATACATTTTTGACCAATCAAAGAATAAATAGAAAATGGTATACTCGATTAGTATATATCTCGAACATATTAATAATTATTTAAAATCTTTATCGAATTGGTTCTAAAAAAATATAATTATTAAGAATATTTCATTATTCTGCATTTTAAGTCGAATGGTTGCAACGAAAAGGTTTTTAGAATTTTACGCAGAACTTAACCTCTCAACTGTCAAAACAAAAAATTTAGTTGGTTAGATTGATTATTTTTAACATCTTTTAATATATTTTAATATGTCTCAAGTATATGACAATTATTATAATGATTATCATAAAAATGCTGAAATGCAGCAGAATTTAAAATATAAAAAGAAATATCGGAAATTGAAAAGAATTGTGAAGGACACAGTTTTTGTAAGTTGAGATTCTATTTATTTGACAAAAGTTATACTGAAAGATTTGCTCTTTCTTCCATATCTGTTTTTGGATACAGATATTTATATATTAATTTTTTCAAGTATTTATTTATCAATAGAATAAACATTTATGTTAACTCATGATTTTAGGAAAATGCAGCATTATGCGATCAAGTGGCACAAATGCAAGAAAATCTTATGCTTATGAAAGAAGAGAGACTTTTTCTCCTACGAAAATTATGTCAGCAACAAGGAGAAATAGACCCAGGTACAATGATGGTACGATCTCAATCGAATAATCTTAATTCCTCTTCTTTCAATTCAGAATGTTCTACGCCTAAGAAGACAGTAAAGAAGAGAATCTCAATGGATGCCTCGGGTACAAAGGACTACTAACATAATTTTGTAGTATAATCATTTTGAATAATGTTAATATAATATTATATTTACAGAGACTAAAGTTAAGCCAAAACGATATAACAAAACAACAAGAAGAGCAGTAAACCTAATACCTTTAGATGTAAATGGAAGACCTATATTTCCTATTTCATTAGGTGATCTTACAGTATATTCTCTTGGTGAAGTGGTTTCAGATAGAATAGCATATCATACAGAAGACCTCATTTTTCCGGTAGGATACTGTAGTACAAGAATATATGCTAGTTTACGCGATGTAAGAGCCAAAAGTTTATACACTTGCAAAATTTTGGACGGTGGATCGAGACCTAGGTATTAATAAAATTTCTTTTATAAAAAATTAATCCAAATATATAAATCCAAATTTAATAGAATTTTATATTTGATAGATTTGAAATAGTCTCTGACAATGATCTCGATCAAGCATTAATAGGATCTACTCCCGACGAATGTCATTCACGATTATTAACAGCCATTTCCCCTGCTCTTCGCTCAATAACACCAAGAGGAGCTGATTTTTTTGGTGTTTCACATCCTACAATTCAAAATCTTATACAAAGCTCCCCAGGAACTCGCAAACTTATCGCATACAAACAACAACGTTTCGAAGTTCGTAAACAATAATTGCAAGGAAATATGAAGAATTTATAAAATGATTTTCATGAAATTGTATTTTCTATATTTTTTCTAGGTAGGTAAAAATCATATTATTGAAAGAGGTACTAGTCCTATGATAGAAGAAGAGGCAGACCCAGGATTAGGATTTGCAGCTCTTCATAAACACTATGCGCTATCTAATTCTTATAGAATTAAGGAAGAACCTTCAGATCATGATCTTTTAGCTCTTCAAGATTTACTTTCATGATTTTTTCAACAAAAACAACAAATACATTTTAACTTTTTCTTTGATAATTCTCTATTTTTCTTTCTCTACTGAATGTGAACACAGAATTATAAATATAGTTTTCCTAGACGAGTATATTTTATGTTATTTAAAAAAAATTACAACAGAGTAGAATGTACCAAATATTTATTATTTTTAAATATGACTGAATATTCTTATATCTCTGACACATAAATAATTCATAATTGTACAATACTTTCTCTACTTTATCTCGTTGCAATGCAATCTTTCTTTATTTGTAATTAATAGATTTATATTCTTATAGGAATGCACTTTATGACACACAGACAATGCTAAAATATAAATAAATTTGATACATTCTATTTCAAAAATAAATTAAAAGTATTTATGCAAGATCCTAGTTTATTCACAGGCCATTTGAATTTCATAAATTTATTCCAATGATAATACACATTGCATATATCACTTGGTATAACATAATTACTAACTTAAAGTACTAAATTTAATTATTTTTTTTTCACGATCGAATAACTATAGAAAAAGTATAAAATGTTAACTACCATTTCTATCTTATTTAGATATCATACAATTATATTATGTGCATCAAGTGTAAAAAATCTTGTAAATAATTACCAAATTTCTAGGACAATTATATTATCATTTCTTCTTACCTTAAGAGGGAGTAATACATTATATAAATTAATATGTTATTAATAAATTTTATTAATAACATTTGATAATTTTGTGACAAGCACAATATGAGTTTACCCACTTTATAAATTGATATCTCTATATTTATTACAATAAGATATTGTATCAATAAGATCAACTTAAGTTCGACATAACTTATTCTCAGTTCTTATAAATAATTTATATATGCTAAATTACCGATCACTTTATACACAAAACAAAAAGTGCGTTTTAAGGCTGTTCACGTCATTCTGTTCAAAGCATGTGTAACTTCAGCGACAGATATAAACAAAATATGAACTACCAAACAAGCAGGGAATGCTGTTTCTACCGTGCGTCTATCGTATCGGTGTATAAATTTGTTGATTATTCCTCTCTCACGCGTGTCATAAAAATTGGTTTCGTGTAAATAGAGTAAATAATTTAGTATACTGTGAACTCACACTTTTCAGTCTCTCATATGTATATCTTTTTCTTTGATGGTAGCTGCGACTCGCAGTGATCCGTGCTAGATACGAAGTCGGTACGCATTTGTTTTACAATAAATGCATATCAAATAATAAATATAATTGATACATATAAAAATTAGTACATAAATTTATGACAAAAATAAAAATTATATATTATATTATTTTAATACAAAATTAAAACACGAGTTTATTTCCACACTACTTAGAATTTCCAGCACTTTTATTTACTTGTTCCTCCTGTAGAACTAGTCCACTTCATATTACTTTGACTATTACTACTATTAATAAAAATAACAATAATAATTTAATATAATATGATAATAATAATAAAAATATACTTAAATATTATTTATATAGATCTAGATATTGTTTAATATATTTTATATTATAATAGTAAAGACAATTAGCTTAGACTGTTCGTGAGTGAAACAATGTGAAAACAAATGCATATAGATACATTTTCCTTCTTCTGTTATTATAAATTATCACAATCATATTTATCATACAATATAAGTACATTCTTCTGTTTTATGTCTTATTATTACTGTTTTTACTACTATATTATTACATTACATACTATTATCATAGTAATAGTAATAGTAATAATATGAATTCATATAGAGGAAACCATAACAAAATAGTGCTGGGAGAAAAATCTTGTAAGTAATTTGGAACCGAACTAGTATTTTAATCTTTATTAAAAATAATCGATAAATGTATGTACTTCATATGCATTTGTCATCGAACAACATTATATTGCTGCTATGTCCTATTTAGGCACAGATCATCGCGAAATTCACTTCAGCCATCAGTGGAGTAAATAAATATAAGATATAGAATAATAAAAATTTAATAAATTATCAAAAAAAAAAAAGTAAATTAGTTCATCATTAAAATTAATACGGATTTATATATTGATACAAGAAAGAAAAAAAAAACCGATTTCATTTAGCCTCGTAAACCTACGATTTCTGTATTACGAATTTTGATGTTTGCTAATGTGTTACATATTGCTTGTAGAACCTTCGTCTTTTTAGTTTATAAAATTTTAAAGGAATTGCAAATTTTTCCAAAATTTAAGAATATTTTAGAATCTCAGATCTTTTGACATAAACGATTGAACATTTCCTTATTTTTGTCATAAAATCATCTGACCAAAGCTTATTAAAATGGCCAAATGAGTTTCCGTAGCTTTTCTGTGCGAGCATCATGAAATGTATTTCTTTGCGTTTGGAAATGTTCAAAAAATCTGAGCATCAACTATTTTTCTTGCGTACAATCAAGCAGTCAATCACTATTTTAGAGATATCAAACATACACCATTCAAGCGTGTATAACTATTCTTTTGTCGCAAATTTCGTGGGATACCACAATATCAAACTTTTTGTTTGAGAAAAATGTCGAAAAGAGCATTTATACTATCAATGAGAACAGAAATAATTCTTGAACATTTTTAATGGACATGGTTTCATTTTGAAGATGAAAGTTTAATCTATGGCGTATTGATTTCAAATTTTTGAAAAAAGTTTTTATTTGTGCTTAAACTGTTCACGAAAAATACCATTTTTAACACAATTTTTTTTCAAAGAAAATAAAGCTTCTTCAAAATTCAGGCCAGGAATGACGCCGTAGATTAAATCTTCGTCTTTAAAATAAGACCTTGTTTAGTAATACCAGTCAAGAATTATATGCCTGTTTTCATTGATGGCATGAACCATTAAGAAAGCAGGAGTAGTGAACAGTCTTAAATAATGTCTGCAAAAAAGCATCAAAAGTTAAAAAATCAAATCACAATTGTATATTTAATCCAGAAAAAACACTAGAATTTATATCTTTTCTCGATCGTCACCGCCTATTAGCCGGTCCAATAGTCTTATTAAAAAGCGTATTGGCAATGGCAATTACTGGAGAGAACAGTTTTAATGGACAATCACTGAAATGCATTATTATTCATAAATTAGATAAAAATGTATATATAATACTAATAATATGCAAGTATTAAAGTGAAAAAAGGACATACCAAACTCCAGTTACAGGTTCTGCTTCATTTCCACTTACAATAAAAAGTGGAAATAATATAGAAAAAACACAGCCACTGTGAAAGAACAAAAAAATATTTTCATATAATAAAATAATAGACTAATGATTATTTTTTTTTTTCTTTTCTTTTTTTTTACCTTATCACATATGAATTAGGCAGTTGAGTAAGTACTGCTAATGGTAACCCAAAGCCCACAAAATATGGCCAATTGCCTTCGATAAAAGTCAGTCGTCTATGCAATTCCCATCCCATATTGAACCACTTGTATTCAAAGGCATAAAGAGCATATAAAAGGCACATATGTACAAGGGCAAGTATATCACCTAGCGGAGGTAATGGTACTTTGGATACTAGCATTCCTTGTCCCAAAAAGAGAGCTTGCACTAATATACTGAAAAGAGTATCTGCTACCAATTTGCTTACACTGGATAGAAGTAATGGCCTTCCTTGTCTATATCTATAAGCACTATCTGCTATATCCTATATCGATAATAGAATATATAAAATGAATGCTCATAGTTGTCAATGAAATTGATCTAAAGAACTCATCCATACCTGAAACCATAAACTGTTGACTATGCGGCTGAGTAAAAAAAGTGGTAACACCCACACAGTTCCAAAAGTAAGAGACAAAAATGGTTTTGTCCAAGACCATACTGTCACCCCCATACCAGGCGAATGACCAAATATAATTGTCAATAAGTACTTAAGGAACGGAAGAAGTCCGCATTCAAAAATTAAAATACTCGCCCAAAAAACACCACCGTTTAGGGCGCAACATTGAATTGTCCGTTTTAACACTTTAGACTCTCTGCAATATATAGATTTATGCACTGCAATCTTTTCTTAATTCAATAAGTTTCATTTGGAGCATTGATTTATCATTAATTTCACTTGTTATTCTTTTAATATAATCCAAATCTTTAATATCACAGCATACAATTATATAAATATGACATACCTTTGTTGATTACAATGCTTTGCAGGACTATGTACAGAAGCATCTTTTTTATGTGTTTCTGTTCTTGAAGGTGGTCTACTACTCAATTTATCATTAATTTGTTTATCCATATAAAAGAGAACAATTGCACCTTTTAAACTATCTGCAAATCCTTTGCAGATCGCATGTATTATCCCCTAAAGAATATTTTGTTTTTTTTTTTTTTACTATATAAACACAGAGCGATACTTTGTAAATCTAACTTAATAATGAATTTCTTATTTTAATTCAAACAAAAAAAGAGCATGATATATGATAAAGCATACCAATAAAATCCCTTGAAAAAAATAAAAATTGTCATAGAATTTTATAGGTTAATATAAGATTTGTTTGGATATGATGAACGCATTTCAATTTAAATACATATTTCTAAAACAAAGCAAATGCATAACAAAGATGCACGAGGTTAGAAGGCAAAAAATGATTAAATGAATTAATATGTGGACTATTACTCACAATCACGTTATCCATATCTTATGCTGATGTTTGGATTAATCTATGCTCCAAGTGTAAAGAGCGATCTGCTAAAATAACATTTTGCATATGACATTCCAGTTTCGATATGATAATAGGTTGGAAAAAAAATAATCATATAATAAATGCAAGGACAAGTTAGTAACTACATTACTTACACGAATGACATGAATACTAAATTATTCGACTTTTTAACGATAAATGTATTACGAATTTCCATCATAACCGGACGTTAAAGACGTTTATGAACGTACACTCTTAACCAATCTTTCCGATCAAAAGTGACAAATTTGCATAAGAACTTTTTTCGAAGAACAATTGCAACAACGCATCAATCTACAACGAAGTTTTAGTCGTCACTAGTGATGGTTAGAGGTCGTGCGATTCAATAGGTTTAAAGATCATGGCTGTCTCTTACATTTTATAATACGATCTTTTTTTTTTTTTTTTTTTTCTTTTTTTGTAGAAAAGAAAAAGAGAAAAAATAATTTGGATGAAAGAATGATTGATAAAAAAACATGGATACCGCTATCTTAATTATGAGCGCGCAATTTTTAATGATCGCTTACTTCATTGCATTACTTATTGAATCAATAAATCGAACGAAATTATATCGTAAGATAATAAAAAGAAAAAGAAAAGGAAAATCAAATTTCATTAATATAAATATTGTAACAGTGAAGTTTTTGAACAAACATGTTCTGCAAATAATGATGCCTGCATTTATGCGCATTAAGGCAAAAATGCGCCATTACCTTTTGTTCGGAACGTTTTGACTTCAGCGACACAGGTATGGAGAAAGCATGAATTACGAATAGAAGCGGGGAAGTTATCCCCACTATGCGTCTATCGTATCGATGTATAAACTTGTGTTGGTTATTCCCCTCTTACGCATACATAACAATCGGTTTCATGTGGATAGAGTAAATAGTTTGGTAGACTGTGAACTCTCACACTTTTCAGTCTCTCATACATGTAAAGTTCATTGAATCGATTCCATCATCACGATCATCGTACAAATATTAGTCCAATGAAACGTAAGATTTAATTACAAATTAACTAAAACTTAATTTCAAGATATAGGCATTTAAATGTGATAGACTTTTAGTAATTTTTTTCCGGTAACCTTATTATATATATTCATTAGGCTACATAATTCAAAATATTTATTTACATTGAAAATAAATCTTGCAAAGTTTCACACAGCTTAAGCTTTCGAACATTTCTATAGATTGTTCTACCTATACACGTTCCAAGATATTTCATCTCCCCTATTCTCCTTGCTCTTATTAAAATAGAAAATAGGTTACGCAACTGCATCAATTTATAGAAAGGAAGGTAGAATATCACTTCGTTAATGTAAATTTATGAATTTATCAAAACATTATATATAAATTTGTTTTTTTCATTAATTTGTTTTCTTTCTTCAATAAAAACTTATGATTATATAATATCAATTTTATAAAATGTCATTAATTTTTCAGGCAATAATCATTACGAAAAGATATCAACGAGAAATAGATCGATTAATGCACGAAAATACAATATTGGCAAATTACGTTTACCATTGGCCGACGTTCAAGAAATTACCGAATACGAAGATTCCACGGATGATAATTTTACTTTAACAAATAAATCGAAAGTACAATAAAAACGCTTTCGTTTTTAATAAATTCTACGTCGATGTGTAAAAGTCACTTAATCTTTTATGAATCCTTAGGAGGCTCCATTCAGAAATAATAAACTTGGATGGAATAAAAATTCAACTGGAGAAAAGTTATTCAACAAAAGAGCTAAGAAAAATCAGATAATTAGGAAAGAAGATTCATCTGCATATTCGATCGATAGTGAGATTCTATCCTATCTCGTTTTCGAGATATTATTTTTAAATAATGTATATACTTATATTATATTATAGGTGTATCTAGTGCAAAATTGCCTGTACGTTTACGTGGTGGTACGGATTTTTTTCGATCTTCTTTGGTAAGCGAATGATCGTTGTGAAGAAATATACACATATATGCAAAAATATTGTTACATCAATATTGTTACGTCATTGTATGCATCGCAGAAAACAAAAGGAGTTATCGACGATAATAAAAATCATATCTTACGTTCGAGAAATACTCAGAAACCAATTATACCAAGAAAACAAAGTGAATTAAATTATCATAATCTGCGTAAGATTTAATATTATATTAACAAGATTGATTATAAAAATCACAAACAATTTTTTAATAATAAAATTAATTCATTAAAATATAATTAACAATAAAACGATTCTTTCATACATACACAGAGGAATCTGACAATGGCAAAGAAAAGAATACATTACCAACAAAGTTATCAAGTTTCCAGGAAAAAAAACAAAGTATTCAACAAGCAAAGACTTTGAAAAACGTCAGTAAACTGACCGTCCTTCTTTTATATCTTCACTTTTTACTATCGTATTATTTATCTTTTTCTAAAAGCCAACGCTTTGAAGAAATGTTCGAAATGTGTGAAACAGAGACTAGATACGAATAAATGATCGTGTCGTTAAACGATCGTAAATGATAGAAATAAATATAGAAACGAGACATGAATTAGTTAAATTCCAAATGCAAGTTTGTCGAACAAATAAATGATCATTTTATTTACTTAGAAAAAAAAAGGATTCATTTAGGATAAAGAATTTATGTCAAAGCATATGAGAATGAATCAGGATTTGGATCTTGAGAAATATGATAAATGAGACAATTAAAAATTAATCTTGCAACAAAATATAATATAATAAGTAAATAATTACATAATAAAATGAAGCACACTATACAGATACAATTAGAGTGTTATTATGCGTCTCTTTTTTTATAAGTAATAAAACAATTTTACCTCAAATTTAATTTTTCAACTTTCATTTGGAACAATTAAAACTGCTATATATTATGGCAATTTTGTCTAACATCAAAAAAAAAGAAAGTGATAATTATACACTGTATTATTCGAGTTTAGCCTCACAAGTTATACGTAGAAACAAATTTGATCCTTCTAATGCCTCGAGAACAACTGTATAAGTTCCTTCACCTCCATCAGCTTGTATTTGAAAATCATCCGAGTTATAAGTACCCTATTGAAAATTTCAATCAAATTGTATTCCATGAATAATTAAATGTTTGCTTGGTTAAATAATTATAATGAAAACGAAAGTAAGTCGTTTGAAAATTATTTATCATTTTGATTGATTTAGTGGTCGTTACTTACGGGATTTATAGGACAATTTCCTTTATTAAATTGCGGCTCACTGAACGATTCGAAATAAGATTTAAACAAATCCGCGGAATTCATACTACAAAAATCGGTATTTTGTTCCATCACTGAATCGCCATCTTCATCGTTTATTTGTAAGTGTACCTAGAGTGAAATTCAATTTGATCATTATTAATTCGCAAACAAAAATTGACGAATTCCAAATAAATGTTTATATATATATATATATATATATATATATATATATATATATATATATATCAATGAATACCGTAATAAAACTCGGATTTATTTCTTCTTTGACTTCCATTGTTGAGCCTTTTATTGTACTGCCGGACGCATTTATATCTCCCATTGATATGGGTCCTGGTGCTATGTCTTCTTTCTTACATGACAATATTTGTAGTTCTCCTACCTGGGAATATGATTAAAAATTCTTCGATCCATATGGATTTATCTAAAAGAATGTATGTATTGGATTTATAGACGAAAAAAAGGATAACTCACAACATAATATGGAAGTAAGAGAGCGCATAACGCCGACACAAAAAATGTAACAGTAGATGAATACATTTCAATAATTATTTATTTTACGAAAAACACTTTTAACTTCGTTGATTACTACAAACTTCTCATGCTCATTTTGAAATCCTTTTTATAGTCATATGTGGATGTGCGTGCATACTACTGTAGGATGATTAAACGATACCTTAATCTAAGCATGAATCTTTTTTATTCATTAGTATATTTTTATATATTGACATTGTATATTGAAATACTAGAAGCGTGGGAACAGGAAGAAAGGAATAAAACAATAGATGAATTTAATTGTTTCCTAGAATCCAAAAGTATGTTTATATTATCATGATTCTTTTGCTTTGTCAACTCGTCAAAGGGATTTCACGCTAACTTTTACGAGAATCTAAGAATAATATTTGTATAATTTTATGTTACACGTTGTTTATGACGTTACCTGTTATCGAACGATGATCGAGGAAGAATGAACAACGTGATGATTAATTATATCACATATTAAAACGATGCGTGACGCTTATTCTTTTTCCTTCTTTTTTTTTTTCTTTTTTTTTCGATAACAAAAAATAAAAAAGAAATAAAAAATATATACCGTTGGTTCGTAAGGAATCAAATTTGATAGGTACCAAAGTTAAAATCGATTGGATATACGTATTAACATATTTGACGTCTTGAGAAACATTGTTTCGAATATTTTAATTTTATTCTTACCATGATATGATTTCTATCGATATTGCATCGAGAAGCATGTTCTTTATCGAAAATATCGATAACTCGATGTACTGTTTTAAGTTCGATTCGTGCACCGCACATGGTCCGTCATGGCGCAAACTTAAGTTACCGGAGAGTCAATGTTATCGTTAGAAAATAATAATCTCGTGCCGAAGTTAATAAAGGAAAACGAAGACATTACGCTCTTATTCTTGAGCGACTCGACTAGATGAAAGATTGAACCGAACAGATGTAGATGTCAGAATTTGCAATGTGATTGTTTCGCCTCGGTTCAAAGCGGGGGTGTGACAATTTTTAAGGGCAATCTCGAAAGATAGTTTTCTTTTTCAAATCTGTATTACAATAGATCTTTTTAAATAGTATTGTTGGTTGTGCCTTTTATAACTTTACCGAAAATCGTATTATCATTGTTTTTTTTCCCCTCCTACGTCTCTTCCTGCGCTTTTTTCGGGAATAGCAATTATCGCGTACGTATAAGAAAGCTTTAATAACTCTTTATTTTCTTTTTAAAACGAAAATTCATTTGTCAGTTTAATTGTTACGATTCTTTTTTCTTTCATTCTTGTAAAGTACATATTAAGTTTGGTAATGTCAATGTCATTTTTCTGATACTAGTTATTATATCGAACGATTGAGGAGATTTTTCATTAATTTAAAGCTCGTTTAATTGTTTCCACGTCACATGCACATTATTATGTTTTATTTAATATTGCATACGCATGTTGAAAACTAAATAATAAATTAAAACATAGGTGACAATATATTGAATCTCTTTGCTTATAGGTTATACAACCATTTGTTGTTATATGTCTCTAATATAACCAAGTTCTTAAATATTTTTAATGCAAAATATATGTGTTGGAATCACGCATCAAACATTAGGATAGAAATGCCGTTGAGTCCAACGAATCATAATATATCTACCAACACTACAGAAAGTGTAAATCCTGGTACATCTGTTCATGTGACATCAACTTGCTGTACTCCACCTCCATCATATCATAACATTAATTTACCTCTTGGACATCATTCTACATTACCTAGTGATCGTGGTGCACCGCCTTCTTATGAAGAAGCCATAGATCCCAATGGTGCGTACAACTAAATGCAATTTTCTTTTGTTTTGCATAAAAAAGTCACAATATTTATATGATCATTCATTGAAACATATAAATGACAATGAGAGTTTTGTTTCAGCACCTCCTCCTTCATATGATTCATTATTTGGTCGGATGAGAGAGGCACATAAAGTCTCCAAAGGTGTATTTGATTTCTTAAAAAATATAATCGTTCTTCTCGTGGGTACAAGTAGGTGATAAATTGCTTTCTTTTTAGTAATGCACCTTTAATAAGTTCTTTATCTTGGACAATATATACTATTCACTTTGTTCCAGTTGGATGCACTATTATTCTCGGTGTGACAATCGTAGTTCCAATATGCATGATGATCATTGGAGCATTGTACCTTTACGACTGTCCACAGGGTGAATACATACCCGTTTATTTATTAGTAGGTGGAGGATTTGGTGTATTTAAACAATTATTACATTTATCTGCACGTGTAAGACAGCGACAAGAAGAAAGAGATGAAGAAAGGATTAGACAGTCGCCAACACAAACATTGATCAATTGCTTCATGCTGGGCTGGTTTATCATTGGTAGGCAAGTTTATTGAAATCTTCAACCGTGTATTGTACTAAGTCAATTTTGATAATGGCATGTCATTGTTGAATTTCTTATCATTTAATAGGTTCCATGTGGGTATATAAGGAATACGAACCAAATTATGATCCATCCCTTGGCAAATATTGCAACAAAACTTTATATTTATTTGCCTTTTGGTTGATAACCTCTGTTTATATATGTCTGGGTGTTATAACAGCCGGTCTTTGCAGTATTTCTGTAGCCAGTATTGCGTTCCAAAGACCACCGCCTGATCTTATGTAAGAAATATTAATAATTTCAAAAGAAACGAAGAATTGTTACATTTTTTGGCATTTTGGGAGCAAAAAATGAGAGTGCACACAAGAAGACATCTGTTGACGGAAGTCACTCAATATTGGGGCACAAAAAATTCGTCCACGTTTATGTACCTGAGATACTTAAACGACAACTTATGCACAGATTATTTGCGCGTTAGAAATACCACTAAATACTTGCACTTCTCGGACTATGATGAATTGGAGGTTGGTTATGAAAAAGTTCTCAATATTATCAATACATTAATTATAAATACTCATATTCTTTGTATTTCTAATTTATATTTTGTTTACAAATCTTTAATCGATAATGGTGTAAAAGATATACGTACTCCTAATTTGCCAGTGGCTGATCGATTTATGCAAGAAAAGAAAAAACGCTTTAATCACTTTAGGTTGTGGATATTTCGTGGTAAACACGGATCTTAATCTTGTGCCAAGAGAAAGCAAGATCGTAGGGAAAAGTATTTTGTTACTGCAGTGTAGTATTAAATACAGGAAAAAAGGTGAATACGATAATCGTATTTGAATTAAAGCGTAAAAGTGATATCTACGATCTCGCGTTACGTCTCGCATATGCTTCGACTTGAAATATTCGATCTCTTACGTCTCTAATACACTTTATTAGCATTAAAAATGCCCTATTGATAACACTATTACAATCTTTTCAACGACAAACGGTAGCTGTTCTTAAATGATCATAAGATAACTATAAAAGAACAAAGATCTTCACTTAGGCGTGACACGACTTATTACTTACGGTAAAAAAGACTGCGATATTTCGCGTTAACTTTATATTCTTTTGCCCTCTCCTCCGTCCTTTAAACCTTTAGCGACCTCCATTGGGCCTTCATCGTCAATGCAGTCAGATATAATCTGTACAGCAACCTTTATCCTATAATCTATACCGCTTCAAGATTTCAAATTTTCTAAATTAAGATATTGGTATAAATAAGTTTTATCGATATTTCGAAACATAAGACAATTATAAAGCCAATAATTATTGATACCGTACGATTTTGGAAATAAATACGGTATATCAAATTGGTATTTAGGCATAGTGGAGGAACCATTAATTTAAGAATAATGTATTATAGGCATATAACGTTATAACATTTCTTCCACTTTCATACATCTTTAGCTACTTTGTCTTCCTATTAAATAAGTTATAAAATTAATTATTCTGGAGAAAAAAAAGAAATGTAATCTCATTACTATGTCGATTGATTAAAACACGCGCTTGCGAATGAATATTGAACAAGCTTATGCTTTTTATTGTATAATTAAGTGTATCTTCGGCATAAAAAACTTAATGTTGGATGAAGCTGGCTAAATTTGTACATACATAACAATGTGATTTGAACGCACGCTAATACGAACGAGTATATTACTCGCATTGCATTTATTGCTAATTATAACTTTACACTATTATCCTGGTAAACATATATTTTATGCGAAAACAGTGTGTATCTGTAAAAATGATCCCTATTATATCGTGCATTATAAGCACTTACTCACATTTCTTATTATAATTTCCTAAATAAACGGCTTAAAATTAACCGTTCGTATTATCCTTTCAGCGCGTTGTTACTTTATAATGCGTTATTTGCAATGCCGAAGTTCATTGATCTGGTTATTATTCTTATTCTTTTACGTTCGTAATCGTAAAAACGGGAGCTAATATATATTCCTAAAATAATTATATTAATTCATAAATAATTTCAGGGAATTTCTTTTTCACCATAAAGATAATACTTATGAGATCAAACGCACCTAAATATATTATGCTATACTCATATGTATTGCAAATATTTCAAATAGCTTTATATATTATACTGTAACAATTTATTATATTATGCTGCTACTATGTTATTATATTAATATTAATATGAGAAATATGATAACATATGATAGATATAATATAATAAAAAAAAATGACAAAAAAAAAAAAAGAAAACTAAATATTATCTTTGCCATAATCAATCTATTTCTTACTGTTCTTCGCTCATATCATACAAAATACTTCTAAATGTTACAAGTCATATAGTATAGCACTACTTTGTAGTATAAATATAATTCAAGGATTTGCCCGTAAGATCGAATAAAAAAAGAAAAAAAGAAAAAAAAAAGGCAAACGAGAAACACTAAATAAAAATAACAATACGAACGAAGAAAAAGAAGAGAAGAAAAGTTATGGTCATGATACCATAGAATTTTAATACTTATATTTCGAAGAGCAAATGCATATTTATACATCTAGATGAGTAGTCAAATCGGATGGCCTTATTGGGAAATCTTCTGCATTTTCATACTCTTCTTCTTCATCGTAATGATATTTTAAATATTCCTCTGGTTCCATCCAAGGCTCGTCAGGACACTTGTCTGTCAAGGATTGCAACGATACCTGGAAAGAGATCAAAGAGCTTTGGAATAAGGAGTAAAGAAAATTGAGGAAGAAAACTCGTGTCTGAGAAGAGAAAAGGAAACTCGATTTTATCGCAGAAATATGCCGGATATACATTGAATACATGTCGTAATGAACGATGGGTTAAAGCAAAACCGAAAGACAAGCGGAATACTCGACCCGGATATCGTGATTCTATTAATGAACATCGAAGTTGATAGTCTGGCAAAAAGGACGGAAATAGAAAGCCGGAAATTCTCGTTAATATGAGGACAATCGAATAAGGCTCGGACCATTACCGATAGCAGTACTTCCGCTTTTCGCGATTTCTAGACGCCGAAGAGAATAACACTACGGAACGAAACGAAGAAGAAATTGAATTTTATCGCGTGCCTTCTCGATATTAAATTAGCAATGAGACTCGTAACTTCTCCGGAAAGAGGTGTTCGATGTTAGATTAAATCAGACAGACTCGACTAATTCAAAGTAATATGTATATACGTATATATATATGTACGTATTATCGGTGGATCGATTTCGGTGGAGAAGTTTAATGAGAAATATAATTGTTAAACATTCGTCATTTTTAGTTTACGATTTTTATTCAGCACGCATTATTTTCTTTTTTTTCTTTCTTTCATAGCACAACAAGGATTTAGAATAAGTCTATTTATAAACGTAGTAAAGTAGGCGATTTTTTTGCGTTGTTTTTAATATTTCAATTACAAACTACATAATATATGGAAGCTCTGATACATATGCATACGTTTATGAAATAAGTACAAAAAGGAAAACGAAGCGATCACGATAAAGATCGAAGATGACTTTAGGGAGGATCGTTAAATATTAAAGAAAGAGAAAACAAATATACACGTATATAATTTAAGCCTTTTTATGATACATTTCCGGTATTATGTGCAATCTATTTCACAATAATAAAATGAAAATTATTACGCGCTAAGTCAAGCATGCTTTCGTCCTTTTTAAAATAATAGCCATTAAATATTTAATATTAAAAAAAAAAAATATCATTTCAAACGAATGAAATACCTCTTCCTGCAAAGGTACCGGTTCCGGTGGCAATAATTCAGAATTATATGGAGTGATGCAACGTGCACGCCATACAACTAGAACACCTTTCTTTAATGGAACGGGCTCGAATGGTGTTTCTTCCGCAAGTTTATCTTCGATTGTTTCTTCATCCGTCCTTGCCTCTACATCCATAGTCTGATCAAATATACATTTATTTGCGAATTAACATTCAACAAATATATACAGCAATTAATTCCGTTAGTATTATTAAGCTCACCTTATTAGAAAATTGATCTCTAAGAGAGAAGAACTATTTTATAAAAATTCCGTTCTTAACAAATAAAAATATTTTATTTTTAAATAATTTTATATATATATATATATATATATGTATATATATATATGTATATATATACTAACATTTAGCAAATGCGGCACTTTCTTGTAATTTAATCTGATTTGATATTAAACTTTATGTTATATAGAAATGAAAAAACAAAAAAAAAAAAAGTAAGAATGAAATATTTTTTTTTCTCTTGACCTACCGTATCAAGATCCCCAGCTTTATCCTCCTCGGTTTGTTCGTAATTGGGATCTCGTAGGTGCACGTAATGTCCATGTTGCATGCAGGCATTTTCGAAGGTAAAACAACCACGTCCGTACGGCTATTATAAGATAATTGTAGAAAAAAAAACGGAGATTTACAGTATCGATTATATTCGCGTGCATTACCAAATTCAATTCCCAAAAGCCGTGATATCGATGACGAGGGTGAATGAGCTGACCGGGACCTTGCATACGATCTTTGATCCAAGTACCCATAAATTTTGTCCCGGTTGCCGCGTAAAGATACGTTCCCAAACCATGACGAAGATTCTTTTTCCAGGAACCCTCGTAAACATCTTTATTCTCGTAAAAATATACGCCAAATCCATATTTAGTATCACGCTTCCAGTCGCCTATTGAACGATATTCTCCTTTTAGATCTTTATCATTTTCTTTCTTTCGTCCTTTATCTACCTTACGTAATACTAGTAAAAATAAGTTAAGATATTATAATTAGATATTTACATAATCCTTCAGATATCTTATAACTTATTGTTGGAATTTTAATTTTATAGTTTCTCAAGAAGTGTCGATGGTCACAAGTAATATAAATTGATTACTTAGAACGATGTATTATATTTAGCTATCACGAAGAAAAGTAAATTTACACATTTCTCTTCTTCGTATTTTTTCAAATTTTAATCAATTTAACGATACAACGACTAAATGTTAAAATATTCTTTTTTATGATATTTTTGTACCTCTTATGTAGAATAAATGATAAAGATATTATATATATATATATATATATATATATATATATATATATATATGCTGTGTTATTTGGATAAATTTTTTTTCGAGTTTCTAATGTACGAAACGAAAATAATTGTGTAGATACACGTGTTGGGTGTCAACCCACGTCCAAATAGCTTCTTTGAATCTGAATCGGATCCTATTTTCGTACATTCTTCCGTACCTTCGTATCGCGTTCCATCGGGGTACCAAAAAGTCCCTTGGCCATATTTAAGTCCCTGCCTCCATTCGCCGTCATATCGAGCACCATTCTTAAATACGTAGATTCCTTTGCCATTTCTTAGTCCTTCGCAATATCGGCCAATGTACATATCTCCATTGGGTAATAAAGCTTTTCCAAATCCATGACGATCGCCTTGTTCATTTCTTTCGCCTTCGTATAGCTAAAATTATAAACGCTCTACGTGTTTTCGTTTCAACGTTAAACGATAATATGTATATTTTATTTCGAAATCCATTAATCTATCAGAAAATAAAATACTTACACCGAGAGGATTCTCTTCCGCTTCTCCGTACTCACCAGGAATCGGTAGAGGTTCTGTCATTTTCACAGGCACGAAAAGTTATCAAAACCAGAATAAACGATTCCAATTTGTTTTTTCAAGAAAATTTACTAGATTACGTTATCGTCAGTCCGTCATCATAGTAAATGCAATAACGAGGCACTTTACTTAGAAATAGAAAAAAAGAAGAAAAACATTAGAAAAGCAAAAAAAAAAAAAAAAGCATTTATGAAGTTAAACTCCATTCGCTCTTTATGTTGCGTGGGCTTGAAAGCTTCTTTCCTTCGATTTGATTAACATCTTCGATCTACTTATTCCTATGTTTTATTTCGCGGTCGCGTTTTTATTATTCGCAATAAGAAAAATTCATATTGTTCCTTCGTTTTTACAAAGGATATCAAATAAAAAAAAAAAAAAATGAGACCAAAACAGAACATTCTTAAGTATATTTTTTTTGTTTGTTCGTGTTTATGTTTTTTTCTCTCTTTTAATACAGACATTAACGATGTTATTATAAACATAATTATACAATAAATTCATTCTTGTTATTCCTTGAATGTCATCCGCTTTAACATTGACGAATTCTCGACACAGTTGTATCTTCGATAGTGTATGACTTTTCGATTGATTTTTGAATTACAATATCAAAGATCTAGTGTGGTCAATTGATTTACGGTTACGTTCTCATTATAATATTGTCAAATCGACCGAAATGAGAACGATAATGATTTTACCATGTCACCGACCAGTCAATAGACCGATCAAAGCTTGTTTCTCCTTTTCTTTCTTTCGCACTGTTTCCAAATTTCGCTGCTTCCACGAACTCTTCCGTAATTTTATCGGCCGAGATCCCACGTATCGTCCTAAAATAGAGACAAGAAATTAATAAAAACATTACTATCCTAATCCTAAAATAATGGCGACACAATCATTCCTTTAAAATCGATATCAACCGAAGAATAAAATACTCCTTCTCATATGTGTATGTGTATGTATACATGTGTATGTATATGTTTAAAATCATATATATATGATTTTAAATCTTAATGAAATCAATGAAATTGTAATAGTACTTTATAAAATTCAAAATGTATTAAACGAACCTTGTTAATTGAATATTAAAAATTTAATTATGTAAAATCTAAACTACGAGTAATGAAATTTATTTTATGTAATAACACGTGTTCCAAGTCGCAATCGAAAAGAATAAGGAGTGAAAATGCTGAAATCAAATTCAGTATATATTTAAGAAAACTCATTTGGATATTCAGGAGAAAATAGCCATAAAAGAAGAGAAATTTTTTGCAGCAACAGGTGATTACGTAATGTTTCTCTCATATTTTTTTACTTTGCCCTTTTCGTGATTTTCTCAATAGGAGTCTGTTGTTTAAAAGTCTTTTAACGTACACGTATCAACATGTCAACGAGAATATCTTTGAAATATTCTTTATTGACATACATTTTTGCATAATAATTTTTATCGTATATATTTTACTACCTATCTCTTATATTTTTTCAAAGTTATCTCTAAAAGAATTCTTTACTGTTTTTTCCCTTTTAGCAATTTACCGTAGTAAAAAGGCGAAAAAGAATTGATTGACATTTCATCCCGACAAAACACATGCACACACACGCACACTATTCCGATATATCAAGATATATCTTATATGTATCTCTGACAAAAAAATTACAGAAGAAATTTAAAAAATTGATCATAAGTATAAGATAAAAAAAAGTCATACCAATAAGAAAAGTCATAACCAACAAGAAAAAAAAAAAAAAAAAAGAAAAAAGAAAGAAAGAAATTTCAATGATTTTCATCGACGGATAAAAGAAAAGTTCGTCAACTAGATTCAACACCTCTGAACTTGTTACAATCAGCTCGTTCGATCCAAGGATATCCTCGTTAAGATTAAAGGAGGGAAGCATAAAAAGAGAATGTGACGAAAAAAGGGACATTATATGACGGCAGCACGTCTACGTGAAAAAGAATTCGTGCGATGTCAACGCAACTGGTAAATGTGAGATCCGAAAATATACAGCTTCGCGGAGGTATCAATGAGAATACCTTCGGTTTAGCACCCACGCTTCTATCTCTCTCTCTCTCTCTCTCTCTCTCTCTCTTTGTCTTTCTTTTTAGAAAAAGATAAAAAGTTTTATGACACTCACAACAGCAAGGAGTTCAAAAAGAAACAACACGAAATTTGTAAAAACAATAAATTTGTAAAGACAATAATCGTGACAACTTTTTAATAAGTTTTCAATCTAATCATAAAAAAAAAAAAAAAAAAAAAAACTTTTGACCAAATCATTTTTAGGGATGATATTCATGTTTGACTTTAAAAGTAATCGAGATCACGGATCAGAAGTGTAATTATTATCAAGACTGCGCAAGGTTGCACCCGGGTCACAAGCATATAAGTTCCTCATTGGTACCTCGAACGCATCTCAAATATCCATTCGAAAATCATCATTTCCGCGTCTCGATCTGATTGAATCCGCGAGAGTTAAAAGAGAGAGAGAGAGGGTTAAAAGTATTAGTTAAAAATCGCCGACCGAGGTCACCGTATGAGATGTAAACAGGTCAGGGTACGTCACGCCCACGGTCACGTATTCCATTAAGTTAAGTAAGGAAGATGTAATTTTATCGTGAGGCTACTTAAGTACAGACCCATGCTCTGAAACGTGTCCCTTTTTCTTCGATCTTCCGATAAGTCTTCGTCACCCGTTAAAAGGCAAACAAAATAAAAGAAAAAGAGAAATAAAGAATGGGGTGGAAAGTAATTAGTTCGGATATTCCAAAAGAAAAAAGTTACTTAACCCAGTTAATGAGATCGGAAGCTTTCGTTAAAAAAAAGAAAATAACAACAACAACAACAACAACAACAATATTGAAATATCTATGTCCAACCAAATCAATGATCGTATTTTTTCCATATATCTAGAACGACAATTACGATAATACCTTATCATATCACGTTTATATTTTAGAATATTTTTTATATTTCACGCGATAAATAAAAGATAGAAGACAAGATGATAAAATTAAAGGATAATACACGCCAAAAGCTATACCGGTAAATGAATTCTTTTATTTCATCAAATATATTTTATCTTACGATCTCGATCGTTATAGATCAATTTTTATTTCGTCTCTCTCCCCTTCCCCTCTCTCTTTCTTATCTGTGTATGGAAGCAGATATGTTTTACATGTTTTACTGAGAAATCTTGCGTTGCCCACGCAATCTCGAATTCCTTTCTAAATTCTTTTTCAAATTCCAAGAATAATCTGCCACTAACTTTCTAACTCCCCCCTCCCCCCGGTTTATATGAAAACTTCTGTCAACGGCCATGAATGCTACAAACATTCGAAGATTTGAACGAGCCAACGCGGATCAGTATTTCTTCCTTCTTAAAGATCTTAGTAATGTGCGAAACACCTCGAACATCATCGTTAAAATAAATTATGTTGTGCGAATTATTTGTATTCTTTGCTCTGAAAAATAGACTCGAAGGAAGAAGAAAAATAATATACGACGAGAGAGAAGGAGGAAGGGGAGAAAGAAAGAGAGAGAGAGAGAGAGAGAGAGAGAGAGAGAGAGAGAGAGAGAGAGAGAGAAATATCTTGTTGCTTTTTAAAATACATCGATGATACTATAAATATCGTTTAATTAAAATTCATGCTTCCACGCGAATAAATTTTTTACTCTTCGTTTTATAATTAAGATAAAATAATAAAAAAAAAAGAAAGAAAGAAAAAAAAGAAAAAACACATTTAAGCAAATAAACTAGAAAGGATTGAATGACTGCACGAATCTGTTCGTTTATATGATCTCTCGAACTACTTGTTGCGCCTGACTAATATCGGATTGTATCACTTAGCATAGGACGCTAAACATGCACGATTTTAGAGAACTTTTGTTCCTCTCTTTCTTTCGATACGCCCACGATACATTGAAAGAAAGTTTCCCTACAGCGATGTGTCTCTGTATGTGCGTGTGTTTATAACGAAAGATCCACGAGATCGAGTCCAAAGTATATTTTTTCTGCTCGAATCGAGAATAATATGAAACGTGCGACACTCAATCAAAATGAAAATCTCTATGAAGTTAAACTCCATCCCAAGTGCGTATATATATTTTGTCCAAACAATTTTTCAGCGAAGAATGTAAAAGAAAAATAATAACATCGATAGTGAGTAATCGCAAATATAATTTCGATTTGAATGTTTGGCGCGTGAGGTTTCTACGAAAAAAAAAAAAAAAAAAAAAAAATAAATAAAATAAAAAAATAAAAAAAATAAAAAAATAAAAATAAAATATAAAAACATAGGCATTCTTGATAGAAGCTACGAATAATACAAGAATATATTCGTGCGTCATTGAACTCCTCAGCTGATGAGGGAGAGAGAGGAAGAGGGAGGGAGGGAGGGAGAGAGAGAGAGAGAGAGAGATCCTAGAAACGATATTTTATTCGATATCACGTCGCAAGAAGTTCCTCGACGGTTAATAAAGATATCTACGGACATCCGCGAGCTATTTCGTACCGCGAGGAACATGGATCTGATTCATCCGAGGACCGCGAAGAAGAAAAAAAAAAGAGAGAAAAGAAAAAAGAGAGAGAGAGAAGATATACAACAGCGAAGACGTCGTCGTATCGTAGTTCTTAGCCGTTGGTGTTGCGTCTTTTGAGACACGACGAAAGTAGACAAAGAGGATAGAGATAAAAAGAAAAAAAAGGAAAGAGAAGAAAAAAAATAAGAGAGAAACAGCGGCAAATGGGTCATAGTTGGATGCGATTGGTTCACTAGTGATAGGGTGGGAGGTACGAAGGCGACATCGAAAGGGTAGGGGTTGTTGAATGAGTACCGGGGACGCTCGACGTCGCGATGCATTCCGTCGCAGTCACCCCGAGACAATATCATCGGAACTGGGATGATTAAGTTATCCCATCGGATGAAAACGAAACGAGTTATAAATCGACAAATTAACGAGTGAAAAGAATTTGTTCTTGAGAATTATATTAAAAAAGACGATCGAACGAACGACCGGTGTCCTGTTTCGAAAGGTAAAACTTTCGCGTTCAACGCGCTATTCAATTTTCATTCCCTTCTTTCGAAGGCTTCTTTTTCTATATCTTTTCTTTTCCTTTCCTTTTTTTCCTTCTTCTTTTTCTTCTATTAGTATTTTTTCTTCCTTCTCTAATTCTTTCATTTATTCTATCTTATAAGTCTTCCGCCCGCAACCAAGAAGCTAGAAACTCCCCGATCGTCTCATTCATAAATCAATATGAATTATTAATAAATATATAAGGATTCGATAATTCTTATTGTAAAATGAAAATGATTTTTACGATTACGAGAATAAATCCTGTTATATTCCTATGTATTACAAATCGCAATATTTCTTTCGTAGAAATCAAACGTCAAATTAAATGAAATGTTAAATCATAAATCGATTGCGATAGACGATTTAATTTCGTGCCAAGATACGATAAATTTTAATTAAAAGGTCTATCAAATAAATTTGCGCCTGTTAATTTTCGTCTTAGTCGCTCGTCGAACTCGCATAATCAAAAATTTTAATTCTCCTTCTTCTTTTTCTTATCTCCCCTCTCTTTTTTTCTTTTTGATGGCGACATCCACCGTGATTGGAAAATACACGAATATAGACTTACTAAAATTAGAAGCAATCTTATATAAATAGGTATATTCATCGCTGAAATATTTGGAAAACATAAACAACGTATTCATACATCGTTGGTATACTTCATTAAGTTGGATAACATCAATTCATTGATCATCAATGAATTAACATCAATGAATTGATGTTATCAATGAAATGATCGATTCACCTAATGAAATTTATTAAACATTCAAAATATCATTTTCTTGTTGCAGAGAGACAACCGAGGAAAGTTTTGGCGCTGATTTTTCTGAAACAACGATTTTTCAAAACGAGGAACGAGATAATGAGAGCAACAGAGGATGCCCTTCTTATCTTGGGACTGAATATACTTGGGATAATAACGGCCGCACCCTTATCGAGTTCGCAAACCGACTGGGAAAAAAGAGAAAATTTCGCACCTGTTATCACGTCGGACTGCTCGCCAAATGTACGATGCTTAGAAATGTTACCACTTGAGCCAGTTGCTGCCGATACGATCATTTTACCCGAAGATACCCCACCGACGAGGTATTTAAATAATTTTTATTTTAGAAACGTTTAATTAAAGCCCTTCGATGAGAATTTTCCAAAAAAGAAAATCGTTTTCTTTGATAAATTACTATAAGTAAAAATCTATTCGCTATGTTCTAAAACAAGGATCGTACAAGGATCAATAATCTCGATCGATCGATCAATTGATTTCCAAAAATCGCAGAGTTTAAAACGTAAAGAACATTCTCTTCGCGAAGAACAAGGGATATATAAATCGAGTGTAACGAATTATTTTTGATTTTATTTACCGACGTAAAATTATATCACAGAAGTCAGTATGGAATTTGCAAAACAGGTCAATAAAAATGTTCGATCTGATAGACGGTCTTAGATATTGCAGAATGCAACGTGTAAATGTATTTAACAGTGCATATATTCGGTATAACGACAGGCTGATATACCCACGCACGATATTTTGGAATGCCAGTGACTACTTTATCATTTGTAGAATTCAAACTAGACGACAGATCACGAATGCAGGTACTGACTCAGTATTACAATCATGGAAGGATAGTGTTCCCATTTTGGAGAGCGAAACTCGACAACTATTACCGGCCAAACGAGTCTCGAGTAAAACGATTAAAAAGGATTCCTTCTTATCGCATGGCTGGGGTGCAGGCGGTATGCCTTTTTCTGTTCTTTACATGACGCCGCATGGATCTAGACTCAATCATGCTGCAAGCACCGCAACCGGTGAGAATTTGTCATTATGTAAATATATATCTTATAAAATAAGAGACTTCTGTCGCGTATATTTAAATGTACTATTGTAAATCATAGGAACGAGTCATCAACAAGAAGTTGGAAAAGCGAATGAAAATCCTACAGCGCCTTTAACACAACCGAATTATCGAGTCGCCGTCAGAACTGGCCCGTCCATGCAATCAAGACGACAATACCCGATAATACCTCAGCTCTTTATATCGTACGGATGGGGAACGCTCGGAAAATAGATACGGACATATACATTTAGTAGATAATTCTGAAGAACACGACTTTGATCTCATTACTTTTAAAATCATACTACGATCGCTTCATATTTAGAACACTACTGATTTCATTCTATCGTTAATATATAATCTTTATATAGCTGAATAATTTAAACTAGTTTGTAAAATTTATGTTACATCTAATTCTTTGTAGATAAATATGTTAGTATGATTTAACAGCGATGTAATAAATTTTCGAGATCTCATATTGTAGAATTCAAATAGAACATATTTAAAAAAAAAAAAAAAGAAAAAAAAAAAAACTGTTATACCGATTAACATGATAATCTTTTTTTTTTCTTTTTTACTCACCATTCATCTCTTTCATGGCTTTGATAAAATCTTGTGGATCTTTGAAGGATACGAATCCGAAACCTTTAGTTTTGTTTGTTCGTTTATCTCTAACTACTTTCGCCTTTTGAAAGCTAGGGTACTTGCCAAATACTCTCACTAGCATTTCATCGGTAACATCATTTCCCAAATCACCGCAAAATATTCTGAAGTCATCTAAAATCATAATAAACAAAATTGAAATGATTGCTCATATGTTTTCCTTTTAATAGACATGTCAAATATTTACCTTCGTCCCATTCTAACAGAGAAGGATCTTCCCAAGTCTGCCCACCAGCCATTCTAATAATCTTTTTATTTTTCTTTCCTTTACCTTTTGGATGACTTTCTTCGGCACTAGCATTTGCCATAATAGAACTGGCTTTCCCTTGACTAATGGCCAATTCTGCAGCTGTACTAACTCCTTTTACTTTTGGTTTTTTTTTACCTTCATCTTCTGGTATTTTTGTATTGATAATCTGTTCAATAATTTCTGGATGAATCATTGGCGATGAAGTAGATTCATAAGTTTTTGGAGTTGCACTTAAACATGGATCCACCATATTTGGTAAATACGGATTACTTATCTGTGCAGGAGAAGAATATGTTGTGATAGGGACTGTACCTGTAAGTGAAAGAAATAAAAGATATAAATTAAATAGATCTCTTTAATAATTTTGTATGTGTGTGTATGCGTGCGTGTGTGTGTATATATATATATATATGTACCTTGTCTTGCTACTTGTTGCGGTATTAACATTGGTGGTGGTGGTGGCGGTGGAGGTGGTGGAGGTGGTGGTGGAAAACCTATCATCGGTGGAAAAGCTAATGTTGCTGCGGCTGCTGCAACGACTGGTGTTGGAAGTTCATGCTGCTCTAGTTGACGTGCGACTTGATTATATGTATTGGCTCCTATTACAGGTCTAACCATTGGAGTCACTAACTGTCCTCCAATTTCTGCTTCAAATCTATGGATTTAGATAGAAAAGTAAATAAAGATGAAATATTGTTTACAAAACAAATAAAAACTTCTCGAATTTTCGAAAATTACCTGAGATCAAGTTATGTGATATCTTGTTTTAATTCCAGCTATGTTGTAATATATGTACCTCCATACACTATATGTATTTATATTCAATGTATGAGGAAAAAAAATTCCAAAATGTAAATATAACCAAATCGTTACAAAGCGAAAGGAAAGTTAAGAAAAGGTTAAGTGAAAAAAATGTACGCAAATATTCATTACCTGCTCATTTCATCTTCCATTTGTCTTAGTTTGTCTTCCATTTTTGTAAAGTTTCTTATGCACTTTGATCACAAAAATGTTCTGTGAAAAAGTTTTAAATATTTTATTAAATGCACGTTAAGAAACAAAATCACAAGAACGAAGCTTCAGATATTATCCTAATGTACATCCTGAAATAAGCTTGAATAAGGGATACCAAAACTTCAAATCAAAAATTCAAATCTTTCTCAGGGTTACCATCGCATTCCAACGAGGTCGCCAGCTATTGGTAGAGTCATGAACTAATATTACGTGCAAACGAACATTTTATAAGCACATTTCTGTCATTGAAATAAAATATTTGGAACTTTTAGATAATTCTGACAATAAAATATTTCCAAGAATTAATTGTATAAAATATATTAAAATATAAATACTATTTAAAAATATAGTAAACGTTAAAGTTATAAGAATATAAGATATAAAATCACTAAAGATAAATTGGCAACATTGCGATCAGCTGTTAAAATAGTAATGAACTTCAGTGGACAGGAGAGAGAGCAAACATGGTTTCTTCGTTGAAATTTGGTTCTGTTATTTTTTTAATTATTAACTTAATTACTGATCATATTAATGCAGAACACGAGGAAGATCAATCAACCGATCTTTATATTATCGAAGGAAAAGTATTCCCATGGGAAAACACTGCTTCGACTGGTTGGCAGCTAATGACTCATGTTATGGCTAATGGTGGTGAACATTATGGATTTTTAAGGTAAATTAGTTTATAAATAACATTTTCCTAAAATATATTATACGATATATTATTGTAAGATTGTTATTGTAAAATTAATGAATTTTAAGTAAACAATTAAACATTTACATTCTATATTAAAAATATGTTATGTCCATTATGTTGTACTAATAATATTATTTATTTTATTAATTCCTTTAATAATAGATTGAATTTTTTCAGGGAAGATGGAACATTTGTAATTTCTAATGTACCATCAGGTTCATACATAGTAGAAGTTGTCAATCCAAATTATTTTTATGAACCTGTTAGAGTTGAAATTAATTCAAAAGGAAAATTCAGGGCACGAAAAGTTAATTTAATTCAAACTTCACAAATAATTCAAGTACCATATCCTTTAAAAATGAGACCACTTTCTCCTTTCCGATATTTCCAAGTCAGAGAGCAATGGAGAGTAACAGATTTCTTATTTAATCCAATGGTAATTGTTAATAACATTTTGATATTTATGTGTAATTTTTTATATGATATAATTACTTATCTATTAATTATCTTTTCTTTAGGTTTTGATGATGATACTACCATTGGTTCTAATTATGATTCTACCAAAAATCATGAACGATCCAGAAACTAGGAAGGTTAGTTAAAAATAATTATAATTTTATAATCCATAAGGTATAAATTATATATTTTTATTATATATTATATACTTTTAGGATATGGAACAACTTAACAATCTTACCATATATAATATGCCAGAAATGTCAGAAGTGATAACATCATTTTTATCTGGAGGAGAAAAACAGAAAACTAAAGCAGTGAAAGCAGCAAAGAAAAGACAATAAGAAATAACAAAAATAGTAATATATTTATACCTTTCTAGTCTTCAAGTTTTGAATATTTCATAAAATTGATTTTCGAAAAAAAACAACAAAAAGAACACATTTGTAATCAAAACTTTAAATGATCAGTGATGAATATGATTAAAAAAAAAAAAAAACCATGTACATTTTTAATATATTAAAAATTTTAACAAAGATATATTATCTTATAAAATATTTATAAGTTATTTGATGAAATTACTAACATATTAAATCTGAAATTAATACATATTACAACTGTATATACTTTAAAAGCATTTAAATTCAGTTTTTTCTTAGTTTATGATTTCACTGCTCTTTAGTTATACACTTCAATTGTAAAAGGTTAAAGATATGAAAAGAAATTAAAAATAAAAAAATATGAAACGTTATATGTTCACACACTTATTTTCTCTCTTTATAATATTCTATTTAAAATTGTATCTTTTTTCCAATCATATACATTCATTCACGATTAAAGTATGAATCATAGTAGCACAAACATTGAAAAGAAATTGATTACAAAAAATTTCAGCTGCCTTTCTTGGAATTTCGCTAACAGTATTGACAAAAACTATTAGCATGACACACAAATGTTATCGGGTTTGAAGAAACATAATTTGGTCTTTATTATTCCGAAATGAAACTTTCGTTGTCTATATATATATATATTCACACTCACGTATATATATATATATATATATATATATGTGTGTGTGTGAAATATGAGATGATTAATTATAAGATATTCCAGATGTTTTAATATTATACGTTTATTATTAAACAATTAAACGAAAAGGACTCTTCATTATACGTAAAGAAAGAATCTTGTAATAAACAGTGAAAAAATGATTTATTGTACGATGTAATTATTTGTTTACAAATATGATTTGAATGGAAATAGTCAAATCGAACGTTAAAAACATCACGTTCGTTTGTTAAACGAAAAAATTGTATGGAAAGAATTTAGTTGAGAATAATAAGAAATTCATCGTACATACCTACGCATTTTCATATTATTCGTTTTTGATACATATATTATCCACTTAGTTGTTAGAATACTACCGTGATCGTACACATCCGGGCAGATCTGAATGTGAGCCCGAAGGTGAAAAAAAAAATGGGTAAAGATGGCTGATCTCGACTGTGATTCAGCGTTGGACGATGCGAGCTCCGAGACCTGCCACGGCCGGTCTCCTTCTTCCTTCCAAGAATTCGTACACTGCCAATTGAGAGAGCCTTCGGCTTCACGGCTCCATTCACGACGAGTAGCCTATTCGTGACACAATCCGTGTAGCCTATCGAAAATACTGTGTTTCTTTCTCTTATCTTTCTATCTCCTTCGCACGTGGATGTGCATACGCATAAAAAAAAAATAAATAAAAAAAAAGCATTTAACTTCGAAGATTAAACATCAGTCAATCTAGTGTAAAGAAAATTCTTCGATAGCCACACATTATCACGTTCAGTACGTATATATCTTGCATCGTTAATAGTGTATACGATCGATAAAAAAATATTGTCATATTAACACTTTGTGATTGTTAAATAACATTTTTATCCGGTTGATACTTATATGTAAAGTTACTAAAAAATATATATATATGCATATATATATATATATATATATATAAATATATACGTATATATTCGATTATTAGGTAACAATATTTTTTATATTAGATCTTATCGTTAATTATCTTAATTTGATAAGTATCACAAGTAGAATTTTTGTGACTTCAACATCGATTTCTGCATAGTCATAGTTATATAAATTACAATAAATAAATTCGATTACCTATGCGTAAGTTTTGTTTTTCCTGGAACTTTAACGTCAAAGAAAAATGTATTACACTAGATTATTTGGTCAACGATAACAAAGTTGTGAAATATTTTGCATTAATAAAAAATTTCAATTTTAGTTTGGGCAAAAGCGAAAAACAAAAAACTTTACGAAAAACAGGTTGTCGATGATCCGATAGAACTGATGTTAGTGTCGATATTAGTGTTATAAGATCAAAATCGATAGCAAAGGATCATCGTAAGATCTCTCATGTCGAATCTCGATATCTTCCACTTACTTTTCATTTCGACGGCACCGAATCGAATCCGTGAGAAAGGGTTTAAACCAGGAAGAGCTTGATGACGCACGCAAATTTCAAGGAAGAAATCGTTTGAGTCGAGCAATACACGACGAGTCAGTCGGTGCGTGGTCGAGACGCAACACACGATTCATACTTTTCCTTTTCCTCGTCGTCGTCGTCGTCGTTTTTATCGTTGATGTCAATGTCCGTGAATCATTCGCAATGTGCGAACGCAAAGAACAAGGATCAAGAAGAAGAACGTTGCACGACATCGAACGCGTCAGTGCAAATCACACGATTACTCCAAGAAGACGAAGATTGTTCTCGATCGATCAATAAGTTTTCTGTTTCTGAACATCGATCTAGTTGGATTTTCAAGAACAATGAAAAAGCAAAATTTAAAGAAGATTCTCGAGGAGAATCGAGAGATTTATTTGCGTATTTTAACGATTCGATGAAGAGCAAAGACGAAAGTAATGAATCGAATCATGATATTACTGCAAAACTCGAAACGCTTTTTCGAGTCTCTTGTGAAAACTCGACGGTATCTTTCGACGGGGAAAAATATGATAACGATGAAATTCCCAAAGAGAATATTACTTGTCGTTTGGCGTGTCGTTCTGGCGATGCTAATGTGCCGGAAAAAAAGAATAAATCAAGTCTTAACTTCGAAGAAAAGGAAGAAAAACAATTGGGATTAGAGGAAGAACGATTGATTGATACAAGTCCAGTTATGGTGCCATATGGTAAGTACCATTATGTCTTATTATGTCCATAAAACAAACTCGTTGCATTCTGATTAAATAGATCGTTTACATGTATCAAACGACTTACAATTGTTTGTTTTTTTATAAATCTTCATACGATCTATTATATAAATCAGGTTTGAATTTTGTAAATTTTTAACTTTATAGATCCATCTGAATGGAATTCGAATCACGTAGCGTCATGGATTTCATGGTGCAGCCGAGCATTTTCGATAAAACCATCGCCGACGTCAAAGACTCTTCCATCGACCGGAAAGGAGTTACTGAAATTGTCTTTGGAGGAATGGCAACGTTTTCCAGGTGGTCGAATTTTGGCGAGGCATCTCGGTTACTTACGTTTACAGGCGACCGGTGTGTACAGTCTAGCTTTGCTTCAAGATGAGAAAGTTCACGGTGAGTCAAATCTGCTGCGCAAATGCATGTTGGTTGTGTAATCAAATTAACTCAAATTGAATCGAAAGTTTTTAAAATCTATTTCGTCTGTCTATCTTAAAAACAATGCGTCGATCTTCTTAGACTTAGAATTCTCAAATGAGCTCAACGAATCGACGGCAAGTGATTTTGTTGTCATCCGAAAGGTCGAAGGATAACAAGAACATTTTTCATTGTAAATAATGAAACCATATAAATGAGTTCTTTTGAATGATAATATTGTTTATTAGATAGAACGATTTGCGACAACGATAATCATCCGATTCATTATTTTCAACGTTACTTTTACACGTTAAGAAACTTCAACGATGGGGGAGCATTAACGCAATCCATGCAATAAATCTAAATGGCGCAGGGTCGGCGGAGGTCGATGGTGGCGGGAGAGAAGGGGGCTAATAAGAGTTTCAATTCGGACCAAGAGTGACCGGAAGAGGTTAACCGTTCCCCAGGGTTGGTTCTGCGTTCTCTATGACCTTATCTGAACTCTTAACGAGGGCGCGATCTATTAGAGATAAAGCCAGTCCAGCGGAAAAGTAAATATGGAGGGCGATAATGGTTTTATATCCGTCCGTATCCATTCACACCCTTCGTCTAAATTCGATCAGACGGGAAAAGACTTATGTCGATCGTTTGTACGTTTGTGACTGTGACTTTGAAATTCATTACGATCGATAAAGGACCGTTCTATGAAGTGTTCCATTTAAAGTCGATCTTTTGAAAAAAGATTATAGGTAGATATTGTTTGTACGTCACTTAATAAATGACCAAACGATTTACATACCTAAGATGGATGGTGATAAGCGCACATTAATTATTCTCGAAATAACATTAGAATATTCATAAGAAAACATAAGTGTACATTTGACAATACTTAAAAGAAAAGCTTTATCCTCAACATAAATATCAATTAAAAATATTACACACGTGCATATATGTACAGAAAAAGTATCATAATCAGGGAGTACCGAAGAGTATAGTTGAAGTTGAAATATGGAAATATAAACGTGTAAGAGGATGAAAAAGTCTGGGCCTGGGTCCGCCGAGTCGTATTCCGCAAAGACGAAAAGTTCGGCTTCTAGTGGAAAGAAACGAAAGAATAGAATAGAAGAAGAGCACACGAAGAGAAGAAGCAGCAGTAATCTTGGCATGGTAAGCCCAAGAGATATATCGTCCGTTTGAATAACGTTGTACGTTCACATTGAGAGTGAGAGAGAGGTACCCGTTTATTAAACGAATCAGTGTTATCGCGGTGAGAGTGTCCTCATGAATAAACCATCGAGTGTTTAGGGCGGTGGAAAGATGGTGCCACGAGGGGTTACGGCCTTACGGCGCAAACTGCACCCCTACTCTAGCTCTCTTCTGCTCTTTTGCTCCTCTTCTCACCTCCTTCTCTCGTTTTACCCTCTCTCTCTCTTTCTCTCTCTCTCTCTGTCTCTCCCCCTCTGTCTTTCTTTCTTTCTCTTTCTCTCCCGCTTATACACTTTGAACCTGGGGAAATTCTGCGGACTGGGGACGCTAAGCTCGCCACAGGACGCGACTATATTGTTTTCTTGATGAGCGCGAAACATCCCTTGGATCTTCGACGTATGTGAAATAATTTTACGCGTCACAAGGACCTACGACAGTTTTCACTTCCGTTTGAATAAACGTCACATCCGATGTTATCGCGTTGCGTTCTATTATTATGTACGTATGAGATAATTATTTTTCTTCAAATCGCACGTAAACAGTTCGATTTGAGAATAAATATTAATAATAAATGCGAAATACTTTATGTTAAGAAAAATTATTGCTACGTAATATATTACACATGAAATTTAACGTGCATGTCACGATGAACGATAATTATTGATTTAGATAAAAATATTTTATGAGCATTTCAATAATCTTTCTTAATAATAACGAATGTTATAAATAATCACGAAGAATATTTTTATTAGAGTTTTCCCTAGAAAATGCGCGGATCGTTTTATCAAACGAGAAAACTCCAATCAAACGTATATCTTTTATTTTCGAGTATGCGAATAGAGAGAAGGAAATAGAATGGTGGTTCGAAAAGGAGAAACGAAAAGGAGAAGAAACGAGGAGGAGAGTCTGAATGTGTGGCCTGGCAGGTTCGGGGGTGACAATAGACCTCGTGAAGATGCAGGAGGGGCGTCGAGGGTGGAGACAGCTTGGCGTACGTAGAGAAGTGCAAAGGTATTCCAAAGAGTGGGGACGATAAGAGCTGAATCACAGAGGGCAAAGGTCTGTCAGTTTCACTCTGTCCACCGACAAGCGTGTTCGATTCCATCGACAATCGCTTTATTTGGAACTTTTCGTTCATCTTGTAAACATCACATTTACGATTTTTTTTTTACTACCGCCACATTTAACGCATAAACTTTGACGATCGTGTGTGTAAGGTGTGAGTTGTTTCTTTATTTTATTTTTCTTTTTCTGTGTAACAACAAGAAAACTTTTATTTAATTCAAAAAATGATTTTTAGAAAAAGGAACAATTGTATAGCAAATTAACATTTTGTCATGTTTTATGTCATTTAAATTACGTGCTATGAAATTACTATTCCTATAGTAATGTGATTTTCTCGTATCCTGTAATATTTAATAATAGCGATGAGAAATTGAATTCTTAACTTATATATATGTATATATATATAATTTGTATTTACGTTCGATAAGCAATAATCTCGATGAATATAATAGTATATAATTCCATTGGAATGTGATTATAACACCAGAGATTATATCATATACTTATTTCTAATATACATAGATCCTCATTTTTAAGTTTCAAAATTGAGCAAGTTTTTTTGTTTGTTTGTTTTCTCTTTAGAAAAACAAACGACATTTATTTACATATCTTCTAATTCTGATATACTTTCTTGATTATAATTTTTCTTTATATTTTATCTTATCTTTCCTAGCATTAGGTGTCATTTTGAAACTTCGTACGGTGAACGTTTTAACAGACTATTAATGCAGAGAACATTAATGTTAAATTGGAAGAAATTTTTGAGAAGGCACATCGATCTATGTATTCAAGGAAAAGATGGGCCTGTCGTCCAGTGGTGTTCACACGGTGAATGATTAGTCAAACGTAATGTGGAGGATTCAGACTCACCCACTGCGTCTTGAGCAGGACAGCAGATTACATCCTTCGGCAGCTGCGTTTATTTATAACGGTACATCATCTCGTATAATCGTTTTAAGCGTCTCCCGATTTATTATTGTTGTTTTAAAAAAATACGATATGTTGAAACTGATATGATATGATCTCCTGTCGTCGATTCTTACGCATAATTTTGAGGAATATATTATAGATAACGAAGGTCGATGAATCGTTTCTCTTTTTCGAGCGAATTCTGGGAGGTCTGATCATCTCCTACTCCATTCTCACCATCTTATCCCTCTCTAAAGCTTTTTTCTTTTCGTCGATTTTAATCGAGACATATTTTATACTCGATGACGTAAGCTTGCAAATATATAAATAGAGAAGATAAAATAGAAAAGAAAGAGAGAGAGAGAGAAAGAGAGCGGGAGAGAGAGAGAGAGAGCGAGAGGAGGAAAAGGAAGGATAAAAGAGATGAGGATGAAGGAGAGGGATGAGAGGGATCGACCATAGCACTTGTAACGAATTTAACAGCTCGACCTCGACTCGAGGAGTATCACGTCGCATGCGTATTTCTGTTTCCTTCTCGTAGAAAGGTTCGGCCTCCTACAACGGACTTGCTCGCTGATTGGATCGACAGCTGGAACCGGTGGTTCCGGGGCGGTCGGAGGCGGACAGGTTCAACTCTGGCAATTCCTGCTGGAGCTACTCTCGGATTCGTCCAATTCTTCCTGCATAGCATGGGAGGGATCTAATGGTGAATTCAAGCTAACTGATCCGGACGAAGTCGCACGAAGATGGGGAGAGCGCAAAAGCAAGCCCAATATGAATTATGATAAACTTTCGCGGGCGCTCAGGTAATTGTTTCGAATGATTTTTATTTCGTCGTCTTCTAATGACTAATTGATTAGTTTTGATATCAAACTGATGTGAAATTAAATTCCACGGTCTAGCTATAAAAATCTATTTGGAAATAAGAAAAATTGAATGTAATTATTTTATAATATAAGAATAGAAAATATTGTAGTTTCTTTTAAATATAATCTTTTTGCCGTTACAGGTATTATTATGATAAAAATATTATGACAAAGGTGCATGGGAAACGTTACGCGTACAAATTCGACTTTCATGGTCTAATGATGGCGTGTCAAGCTCAAGCGGGCATAGCGATGGATCCACCTACGTCTTCTCGAGGAACTGGACCGAACTGTCATACTCATCACGCGCATCACGCTCATCATCTTTATTCGAGCGGAGGTGCAACTGCATCTCAGCATCATTCTATACCTCCGCCTCCGCCACCACCGCCGCCGCCTCCACCACATTACTGTTGGCCATATCATCGATATTCGCCACCGACGTAACGCGAACTTTTATTCATCGAATTTGTGAACAACGTGAATTTCTACAGAACTTTTTAACGAATAAAAAGAAACGTGAATTTAATCGTTGTTAAGGGAAATTCTGAATTCGATTTGAAATGAACGCAAAAATTGCATTCGCATTCTCATGTACAATTCTTATGTATATTTTGTAAGACACAACTTTCTATTTAATAAACTTGTGATTGAATCTATTCAATAAATATATACGTATGTAATATTAAGGAATAATAAATAATAAGAAGCTAAAAATTGAACGTTTTTTTTCTCCTGATATCTGATATAACTGACAATGTCTCTTATTAATCAAATTTTTGATAACGTTGAATATTTCGTTATCAACATTGATAGTTACATTCTTCAAGGTTTTAAAATTGTTATGCAAATGATTTAACCTTTTCGTTTTTACCAAATGTAGATGTAAACTACCCTACCCATTGTCGAACATATAGATAGCATGAAATTGGAAAAGTTTGTGAGTTTATGTTAGTTTTACGTTAATGATCATAGATGTCTGCTCCATTCCCAAAATCAGCCAATCAAAAGACGAATCGAGTTGACAATGAATGTAGCAACAAGCCGCATGATCTAGTGGAAGCCATTTCTCTTTCCTCTTAAGAAAAGGTAAATGGAAGCATGCTGTATGGCAGCGTACTGAATATCGGTTTATTATAGTGTCATCGTTCTGTTATTTACACAAAAAAATATCAAAATGTAATTTGTAATATAAAAATACTAATGTTGTGTAATTATTTCAGCTTCTTGAACCAGTAGAAACATGTCCGACGTGGGAACGTAAGTGTGGTTATGTGTACACAAATAATTTCATTCTAAAGTTTTTAGAGTTAAACTATATAAATAGAAGTGAGTGAATATAAATTTATGATTTATGTTCCTTAAGATTCTGTGTTGTAAAGGAATTAATTATAGTAAATATGTAGATATTTGTAAAAGTGTTAACTTAATCTTTAGTCGCTTAGGTGTTAATACGGCTTTTCGTTAAACAGAATTATTTATCGAATATAATTTGCAGTGATGATGGGCCTTCTGCGATCACTGCAGGAGGTCCTATGGACGTAAATACAGCACTACAAGAAGTTTTAAAAAATGCTCTTATTCACGATGGAGTAGTTCATGGTCTTCATGAAGCTGCTAAAGCATTGGACAAGTAAGTTAAATATAATTATTATTTATGAAGCATTTTGAAAATAATGAATGATGATATTTATGGCTCCCTCTTCTGAGCAGAACCCATATAAAATATACATGCTGTTTTTATGCTTTAAATTTCTGACACGACAATAACAAAGTTTTTTTTTCAGATAAAGAATACTCGAGTAAAATGTTTTCAAGTTTTTTTTTTTTCTTCTATTTTTTAGGAGGCAAGCGATGCTGTGCATTTTAGCTGATAATTGCGACGAACCAATGTACAAAAAATTAGTTCAAGCACTTTGCAATGAACATCAAATTCCACTTATTAAAGTAGATAATAATAAAAAATTGGGTGAATGGGCTGGACTATGCAAAATTGACAGTGCTGGCAAAGCTCGTAAAGTCGTTGGATGCTCTTGTGTTGTTATTAAGGTAAAAATTGATAATGGAACTTTTATATTTGGAAATAATTTTGTATTAATAGAGTTTTGAACATATATGATGATAAATATGGCTCCCTCTACTGAGTAGAACCCGTAATATAAAATTGCAATGCTGTAATCATGCCATTCTGATATCTTTTAAATTAATTGTTATACTTTTGTTAAAGAGAAATTATTCATTTATTTATAGAAATTTTATATTTGCAGGACTTTGGAGAAGACACGCCAGCTAAAGATGTTTTGATGGAATACCTTAAACAAAGTTCTGTACATTAAATCCTTTTAATAAAATATTCTACATAATCATGGATATAAATTATTATATACCTTTATAAGTATCGATTATTTATTTATATCAGATTGGACTTTTTTATTCTCAATTTGGATTATCACTTCTGCTATTTGTTATTTTCTCACAAATATCTTTATGATTGGTCCAATCTTTTACTTGGCATTCTCTGTAAACAATATAAAATTTTTTAAGTATTGTTTCGGCAATCATCAAATATTTCACTGATTAAAAATTACCGTCCACAATACCACGCCTCCTTGCATTTGGAACAACGCTTTTTAGCTTGTTCTTGACACAAAAAACATTTTTTAATATCTATACAATCCAATTTATCCAAGTCATAAGCATCGCTTAAAATTTGTGCAGAACTTTTAATATAGTCAGTGTCCTTAGTAAATATAGACTTTGCTTGATGTTTAGCCAATTTTTTCCATTTTTTATGATATTTTTCCAAAATCATTGGTTTTATCTATGATTCAATTAAATGTATAAATGCCTTCAATATTTGTATACTCAATTTGTGTCACAGTAAAATGATGTTTTTATGTTATTTTTTTACCTGAGGAATTACTTCAACATAGACAGGACGGGATGTTGCTGATGAAGTTGCTGACATGCTTAAGTAACTTAACCATCTTTTAAGATCAATCAAAGGTGCAATTTGATCTAATACGATTTCGTGCAAGTATTTCTGTAACTAAAAAACAATTTGTTGGATTTAAATTAATATTATTTATTAACATAGTAAAGAGGTACCTTTAATAAATGTGTTAGTCTGTGTTCAGTAATTTCATAGTATGGGCCGCATTTTGGATTAAGAAGTAATTCTCTCAAACCAAACCATATTTGTGCTTCTATTTTTGAAATTTTTCCTTCTTCGTTGTCTTTAACTTTATTCCATTTACCGTCGTATAACATAACATTTCCTAAAAGATGTCAAATAAATAATTACTCGTTTAAAACTTTATTCATCTAATTCACCTTCGGTATCATTCTTTGACCAGGGATGATTTTCGATTAGTTGAACAAGTAAATACGGAATATCGTGTACAGATAACATTCGGGAAATTGCACAAAGTGGTAGGCTATCTAAAAATTCAGCTAAATATCGTAGTATCGAGATACATCTCATTCCAATATCGAATTCAAGTTCTTTCTTCTTTTCTAATATTTCTTCTAAGCAACAACTAATAAAAAAAAAAAAAAAAAGAAAAACGAAAAGTTAAAATAATTATCAATAGTAGAGTTAGTCATTTTTTTTTTTTTCTTATCCATTTACCTGGGATCTTTTAAATTTTCATATATTTCGATATCATTTCTATTGAGAAGAATAGTCACAGATTTAACTGCATAATCGATAAGATCGAGAACAGAATCGTCCATTGTAATTGCGCTTTCGCAATGAAATAAAACATTTTCTAACAATGAAGCTGCTACGTCTTCGTGATAGAATATACTAAATAACATAAACGTATTTTCTGGCTCGTTATTTATATCGATTAAAAGGGGAAATATTTTGTGTTTCCATATATCAATTTGAATAACTTCGTATATTAAAATTGGTATCTGAAAAAGAAAATGATCTTAATAAATATAATTACGATATGATATGAAATTTGATGAATATTATTTTGGAATACGATTTACTTTTTTTAAACAAACAAACCACTCTTTGATGCTCTCTTCTCGAAAGTCACTGATTTCAAGAACACTTTGCTGATTTAGCAAGATCAATCTTTTGTGGAATTCGAACCATCTAAAATAAATTCCTTTTTTTATTAGATAAAGATATGCATATCTTACGAGTGATAAAAGTTTTCTACTTTTTTGTGCAGATATCTTGCAAATCCGATATTTCTAAACTCTGTACGTAAGCTTCGGCTTCCCATGGTGCAATTATATATTCTGTACTTAATGACATTTTTAATCGCTTCAGTTAAATGGTCTTTGGTCGTTTTAAAGTGTCAACCATTTGTAAATAAATTTCTGAATTTCTGTAACCCTGGTAATGTATATTGATTAATCAGTCAATGGTGTACATTCAATAAACGTAATACATAAATATTTCTCTATCTTATTTGATTAATTCACAACAAGTATTATACACATCAATATTAAGAAAATTGCTTATAATTCAAAATTGAATTTCAAATATCGAGATTGAAAGAATATCCAGTACTACGTGTTCGAGATGGATCGATAACATAATATAATTATTTCGACTATCGATAATTTATATCTGCTTTAACCATAAATCGATTATTGTTACCTTACCACAAGATGGCAGATAGTTGGATGTTAATGTCACAAACTATTTTATCATCAAAATTTGTTGACAACGTTCCTAAATCGCAGCAACTTGTAGCGATCACGCATCATGATTTATTGGATCTAAACAATATTCAATGTTAAAATGGAATTAGAAATGTTGTTGCAAAAATGTGCCTTGACAAATAAATGTAAATATATATAAAACATAATAATTATGTTGGGTACAATCAATATTGTGGTATTTAAAATATATAAATCATTAATTCAATTTTACTAATATATTTTTTTTCTAGTTGAACAAAAGCAACAAGAAGAAAGCGAAAAAATAGAGGATGATTATTTTCAAGAAATATATGATCAATGGAAAGGAACAAAAGCAAAAGATAAAGATTTAACTTATAAAGTGATACCTAAATTTTATTTCAAGGTATAAAACTTATCAAAGTTATGATAAATATATTAAACTATAATGATCAATCTATAAAGAAAATATATATGCTTTAGTTACCTAAAGAAGATGAGATACTACCACAAAAATTAAGAGAAGAAACACGTGCATTATTTCTACAAAGACGTTCACGTCAGTTATTAGATAATAATGAATTAAAAGCACTATGGGTATTGTTAGACAAATATCATAGTCCACCTTTGTCAGGAGAAGAACAGTTGATTAATTATGAAGATTTTAAAAAAGTGGGCCAATTGGCTGGTACCAAATGTAGTCCATATTTTACTGCAGTTGTTTTTGCTAAACTTCAACAAGGTGATCAACATGGAAGAATAAGTATAATGGCATTATTTAATTATGTCATGAGGAAAGTTTGGTTACATCAAACGCGAATTGGACTTTCTTTGTATGATGTCACTGGACAAGGATACCTTAGGGAATCTGTAAGTTTAATACTTTATTATATAACCCACGAATTTTGTTTTTCTACTTCCAAAATATTTTAATTTACAATATGTATATTAATTTTTTTTTTTTTTTTATATATATATATGTCCTTTTGTTATTTACTTTTATATAGGACCTGGAAAATTATATTTTAGAACTGATACCAACACTGCCGCAACTTGAAGGTCTTGAAAAATCATTTCATTCTTTTTATGTATGTACAGCTGTTAGAAAATTTTTATTCTTTTTGGATCCTCTTAGAACTGGAAGAGTTCGTATACAAGATATTCTGGCATGCAGTTTTCTCGACGATCTATTAGAATTACGAGATGAGGATTTACCTAAAGATTTGCAAGAAGCAAATTGGTTTTCAGCACCATCTGCTCTTAAAGTTTATGGCCAGTATCTTAACCTTGATAGAGACCATAATGGAATGCTTAATAAGGAAGAGCTTGCAGGGTATTGCCTTATAAAATTCCTTTTATATTTATATTTTCTAAATATTATAATAATTTAAATTATTTTAAAGGTATGGAACAGGCACTTTGACCGGCGTATTTTTAGAAAGAGTGTTTCAAGAATGCTTAACTTATGAAGGGGAAATGGATTATAAAACTTATTTGGATTTTGTCTTGGCTTTGGAAAATCGACACGAACCTCAAAGCTTACATTATCTTTTTCGTATATTAGATATTAATAATCGTGGTTATCTTGATACATTTTGCCTTAATTATTTCTTTCGAGTAAGTTTGTAAAAATTATTTATTTTTTTTTGGAAATATGCTTATTAATTTATTAGTAGTATTAATATTTTTGTATTACAGGCAATACAAGAGCAAATGACAATGCATGGTCAAGAACCAGTAAGTTTTGAAGATGTAAAAGATGAAATATTTGATATGGTTAAACCAGCTAACCCATGTAAAATTACATTACAGGATTTATTATCTTGGTAAGAGAAAAATATTTGTATATTGCAAAGAATTTCTATTTTTTTTTTTTCAATTAAACTTTCAGTTAAATAAATTTTAAATCGCATTTGCACATTTTAGTGGACAAGGTGATACAATGGTGAGTATTTTAATAGAATTTCATGGTTTCTGGGCTTATGAAAATCGTGAAGCTATGGCTGCTGATACAGGAGATGAATCATCTCATGTATGATAAATTAAAAGCATGAAAATAACATCTATATATACCTAAAGTTCCTTAATGGCTTTGCTTTTGTAAAAGTAATGATATGATATCAATGATATTATATCAGAGATGAATCATACTATGCAGGCTATATCCTAAAACTCCTAAAATTTGAAGGAGCATACTTAAAGTCTGCACTTTTTTTATAAAAAATGAACAATATATAAAATGAAAATATACGAATATGTTATTTCAATGTTATTCTAGGAAACGTAAGACTATTGTATAAAATGATATGTAAATAAAATTATTTTTATAAAAATCACACACACACAACAAACAAACAATTTTTTTTTTTTTATAATTTCATAAATGATTTGAATTTAAAAGAAACTTAACTTTCATGACAACAAATTTTTATAACGCTAATGTCCATGATTTATAATTTATCACAACTCCAATAGAGGGACTATTTTGCAGTAAAGAAAAGTGTATGAATAATTCTATTAATCAAATCAAGGAGATCAATAAACTGATTCCATTGATAAAATTGCCTATTTCTTTTAACTCTTGATAAATGTTGAAGATGTTAACAAATATATTTTGAAATGAATTCACTTACGTGTTTAGTCATTCACTACTAAAAATTATCCATATCCGATTCTATTGTGTTTATCAATTTGAATGATTATTTGAATCGTTTTTAGTTTAAATGCTTCAACCAATCAGATGACAATATTTTAAATGCTAACTCATAAACGGTACTGCGCCCCCCTGCGATGGTAGAGCAAATCAGTGAAAAAGCGTTGCAGTTGCTCCAATCCGATTAAATGTTCAAGTCGTGCTTTAGGACGCTCGCACTAATATTTGAATTGTTCGACAGTATAATAATTCGATAGGTTTTTTGGAATCGTTTATTGTACGCACATTACAGTTTACAAGAATTTCATTCTTTTTTGCAATCGATATACTTGTTCCATGAATGATATCGTTAAAGCGGATTGATAATTGAACGTTATTTTTTAACAGCTTGACGAGCGTCGTATTAAAGCATGGCGGTTGTGTTTAAATACAACGGTCGAAAGTAACGAATTTTACGTATGTGTGTAGTGCTAAAGAATCCATAAACTTTTTGTGACATTTTATCAAAAAGAGAGATATATATAAGAAATAAGTTATTCCAAGTGCCAGTACTACATTTCGGTAGTTTGAAAATTGTTATACGTTTATCCTTAAAATAACGAAAAATCACGAACAATGGATCCATGGATTCAAGTAAGTTCCAAGTATAATAGAAAGTACATATTGTCTTACTATACCAGTGATCAAATTTTAAATTCATATAATTTAATTTTTTGATTGTCTATTCTATATAATTCTACATATTATTAGCATATTATCTATATAATTCTACATATTATTTGTTTTATTTTAATTTTTCTTCCAATTTTTATTTGTCATTCCGTAATTAATATTATTTACATACAATTACAATTTGTATGTAAATTATATCATCAGTTTTTCTATCATATAAATTATTTTATCATCAGTTCTTCTACGTAATATCTCTCTCCATTTCTCTTTAATTTTTTCCTTTCGAATTATTTATTATAGCGAATGTTGGAACGTGCTAAGGCAAGGGGAGAAAAATTAAATATGCAATTGTCTAATGCTGGGCATGACGTTAGAAGACGACGAAGTCCATTAAAAGATGCTAATGCAATTTTAGCACAAGCAGCAGGTATAATTTTATATTATTATAATGTTCAAATTGATCGAAATTTATAATTTTTATTATTTTATTTGATCCTTTTTGAACTTAATATTAAAAATTTCCTTTATAGTAAGCAAAAACAAAAGCCCAGCAAAATCGCCAATAAAATTAACAACAGAAGAATCTCCTAAAAAATCTGTAAAAAAATATAGTCCTTCAAAAACGATAGTTGAAGAAGAAACTAAACAGATTGGTAAAGAGAATGGTAATGTAGGTATAAGCAATGTCAAGTCAAAGCTACAAAGGCTGGGAAAGCTATATTCTGGTAAGCCTGAATGTGTGAACACCCACACAGTTCCTTTAAAACTGGTTTCTAATACTATCTCATTGTGTTTGTATATGGCATCTTTGGTACAAGTACACAATGTAACTCTCCTTATTTGATTTGCTTCTTATCATGCTTAATATTATTGAATAATTTCATTAAAAAAAGGCTTTCTTATATCGACCCACGTATTTTATTTCAATATTTCTTGATTTTTTTCTTATTATAAATTTCTAATATTCTATGATGAATTTATAATAATGTAAGAATTTATTTTTCACACGTAGAAGATACTAGCCGTGAATTAAGTTCACCTATTCATAGAACAGAAGAAAAATTTTATACTGAAGAAGATCAAATAGGATTGAAATCAGCAAAGAAAGGTGCCAGGCTTGATAGATTGGCAGCTCTTGCTTCAACCATTAATAATTGGGAAGATGATCTATCACATCCAACTTTTGTAAGTATATGTAACAAATTTTAATATTTATTATAAATAGCCATTTATTGAAAATTTATCATTTGTAGACAAAAACAACGCCCACTAAGGCAGAACAAATACAAGCTAAATTTAATGACAAAGTGAAGAATACGACAGAACCACAACCAAGTACAAGTGGATGCAGTAAATGGAATAGTGGTAGTAATTCCGAAGCTAGTTCAAGCAGGCAATTTAAGTGGGATAAAACTATGCTACAGAGCTTAGTAAGTATTTTTATTATATATTATTTTTATATTCATTTCTAAAAACATATTCATAAAAGAAAAATCACAAAATAGTAATATGATTTTACAAAAGGACTAAAGCTTTAGAAGGTTTTTCTGTGAAATATATATTAGTATTATCTTTCATTATAAATATATGATATAATTATATATATATATATATAGTTTTAAAACAAAACAAAAAATAGTAAATTTATTAGATGGATATTTACAGGAGGCTCAAGGCTTTAGTCGTACAAAAAGCAATTGTCGTCTAGTGTATGACTTTAAGAGTTGTTCTCAGGAAACAGGAGCAGGTCCATCAAGTTCCCCATCGAAAAAAGATACAAATTCCGTGCAAAAACAAGAAGACAAGCATACATCGAACTCGAAACTTAACGTAGTAATAGAGGGCAAGATGACAGACGATGAAAATGTGCATAAAAGTACAAATAGGACAATTAAGGATGCCGAAAATGCGAACTTAAATACATCAGAAAAAACAGTAAGGACTACAAATACCAATACAAACAATTCTAGAGTAACACCTAGATTTGGTTTTAATGGTTCACCGAAGAGTCCACTACCTGGTTCATCACCTGGTTCTGTGTTGAGTAAAGCTTCCATGTTTGAATCGCGGAATAATGATGTTAAGACAAAAGATCCAGCTCAAATGAGCCTATCTGAAAGAAAAGCTCTTTTCGAAAAAAATAAGGATGAAGCTCCTTTAATTCCAAAAGCACCACTTACCATGTCTATACCACCTAGTAAATTACATGAAAAGGAGACGTCTAATTCACCATCTGGACATGGGACAGGTATGTTATATCTATCATTATATATGCTATTTAAGACGCGATACTTATAGGTACATAATTATATTTTTTTTTTCTCTGATAGATATGCCTGTAATCAATCGTAAAGCTGAAAGTTCTAATCGAGTCATTGCTCAGCGTGCTATATTTGAACATGGTCACACTCAAGAATTAGAAAATAATATATTACGTTCTGCTCAAATTGAAAGACAACGAGAATTAGATATGTTACGTTCACGTTTCAACACGAATAAAGAAATAGCACAAGTTGCAGCTGGTTCTTGCATTAGAACAAGCGAAAGTAGTGAAGGAAAATCGAATTCACCGAAAAATTCTCCAATTTGTTCTGTCAAACCTACACCAGCATTAGTAATATATCTTAATCCTTTAATTATCTTAAGACTTATATAAATGAAGATGATTTATAAAATTATTAAAAATTATAGGATAGTATTATGCCGCACGCGCCACCACCACCACCACCGCCACTTCCACAGTCAACAAAAAACTCGATCGGAAAACATAATTCAGAGCAAGAAAAATCATCGCCAGTTAAACGACATGGTAACATTTTAAATTAAAAAAAATTACTTTTTCTTGTACAATTAAAATTTATTATATTACTCTTTGAGTTAATAAATATTTGATTTATTTTTAAATTACAGGCAATTTACCAAGAATACAACAAATTGTGACATTATCAGATGCTAAGCGTATACGTGTGTGTCCTCCGAAATCTGGATGCCTATATCCTAATCTTTCTGAAATTGAAAATAACACAGGAACGGATACAGAGTACACCGTTGATAGTACAGAACCAGCAACTGTTACTTTGGAAGAAAACACTACTGAGAGTGAATCAATTACAGAAGCTGAATATTACGTTCAAGTAAAATATATTATAATGCAAGAAAATTATGCAAGCAACAAACGAAAGTATACTTATATTCTAATTTTTTTTTTTTTTTTTTTTTTTTTTTTTGTAGGACAACGAAACCGAATTAGATAGCGAAGAAGAAGAAGAAGTTGAAGATGTAAACACTAGTTTAGGAAGAAGCATTTTGCGTGAAGTGAATCAACAGATTATGAGGAACAAAAAGGTAATACTATTTTTAATTAATTTGATCTTTTTCTTTTAAAAAATACGATTGTAATTATTCTGATTCAATGCATTTTCGTATTTACAGAGATCGATCGAACCCGATCCAGATAGTACTACATCCGATATATCTGTATTAGATGAAATGGATGAATATTTGGACGAATGTCTTGCAGTACAAGAGAGAAATGTTAAAAATTTTTATCAGGATGGACCAACACCCCCCAAAATCAATAGAGGTGGAAAAAGTCCATCATCTTCTTCTACAAGTTTTAAATACACTCATGGGTAAGATTTCCTCCTATATCGCATAATGAAAATTTGTTATTCGCATAATTATATTTTACTTATATTAATCTTTACCATTTTAGATCACAATTTCGTTCTCCCATCAAATTCGTGACTCCAGATAAGAGTGAAGAACCATGTATTGTAGAAGGTGATAATCATACCCCCTTAATGCATACTGTCAGCTTTTACAGGCGTCAACAATCAGAAGTGAGTAAATAATACTTCAAGTTTTGATCGTACATACATATATACATAAATAAATTTATTTATTTAATTCATACGTGTTTAATTAATTCAAAATTATAGTTGCGAACACCGAAAGGTACCCCTTCTCGTTCGGTAACAAAAATTATAGACACTGTTTCTGATATTACGGAGCCTGTAAAAGATGAAACGATGTTAGTGCAAGAAAAGGTGAAGCATTTATTAGACGAAGTCTGCAAGCAGCAAACTATCATTGGTCAAGCTAGTCAAGCTTTAAATTTATGTAGTTCTACAATTGAATTTAATGGTTCACAAGAGCAAGTCGAAGGAGAAAGACTTCTACTTATTGCTAGTAATTTCATAATTTTTTATTATATTATTTTGATTAAAATTTTTATAGCTTTAGAGTCCCTTATAATCGAAATATGATTTTAAAAATAGTTCATAGGAGACAAGCCGCTCTAAATGAGGTTCAAAGATTAAAAGTTGAGGGTACATTGAGACCTGCTGTACCAGGTTCACCAGAAATAGAAGATACTGGATCACTTACAGTATCAGCCATTACATTACCATTGAGACGCGAATATTTACGAAGTATTGCTACAAGTGAGTATTAATCGTTCACTTTTACTATATTTTGTGAACAAATTCAATCATAAAGATTTTATAGATACGTGCCTTCATTTTGTCTGTTTGATACGTTATTTGGAGGAAGTATTAACTACACCAGTGGTACTTGCTGAATCAGGCGATTCTTGTTTACGCTTTCCTTCGACCTTAAAATTACAAAATTTATACAGTGATTTTAAAATCACCGTCGAAATTTATTCTCTTCAAACTCAAGCTGAAATGCTTCCCCACGAAGTTAAATATCACATTCATAACAATGGTGGTGGATGGAATTCTGGTAATAGTAGCAAAGATAACAAAAAGGTAAAATTATATTTGTTTCTTTTCTTTCGCATTCGCGTAGTGCGACTATCTTATAAATTTACAATTTTTATAGCATACATCTAAAACGCCTAAGAAATGTTCAAAAATCGAAAATCGCTTGGTAATGCCAAATGTTCAAAGTCCAGCAGGGCCATCAGCAGTTCGATCTACTGCTTTTCATTTATCTGGTTATGTTGTTTTTAGTCTCAAAGAAATACACCGTCAACAATTCACTTTAAATAAGGTACGACGTGCATTCATTTTAGACACCCTGTTGACAATTTAATAATAAATTCCAAAATAAATCAATAAGAAAGAGAGATGAAACATACTTTAAATATATTGTATTATCGTATTGCAGGTTCCACAGCAATCCCCGCTAGAAGGTCGATTGCAAATGCATGTGTCATGTGAACCCTCAATAACAGTGGAATATCATAATTTCCTTACAATATTTGAATATGTTTCTGGTTTTGGCATCTGGCAAAGAAGGTGGTGCCTCCTCAAAGGAACTACATTATCATATTATAAATATCCTTATCATGAGGGCAAGAAAACTCCTTTAGGAAGTCTTGATTTACGTGGTAATTATTATTTATTACAATATAAATATATATGTATGTGTGTATGTTTTGTAATGGTTTATAAATTTTATTATTCCTTATCGTAGGTATTTCTACAAAAAATGTAGAATTAGCACCTCTGAGCATTTGCATGCGTGCCAATACAGTTTTACTTGAAACAAAAAGAGGAGCACAACCTGGTGATGTCGATAGTCTTATCATGGTAACAAATGGATCTGAAACAACCATTAGGTAAGTAGTAAATTATACATCCTAATAATAAATTTAAGATAATATTTAATATATGGGAATATTTTTACAGACATCTTTTCTCAGCTGATACAAAAGAAGATAGGCTAGAATGGTGTTCAAAGCTTAACAAGGTATTACATTTAATACGAATCTGGGGCAATACCTCATGAATATAATATCATAGAGTAATGAATATGTTACATTGCAACGTATTTGAGTATATACTTTTAGTAAATATTAGTAAAATATAATTTAGGCTTATTTAATGCGCGTATGCATTTTTAAATAATGCAATAAATATTTAAATTCTATTATATTTGTTACAGAATAGTAATTTTTTTCGTCGTAGAATATAATAGTGAATATGAAAATATTTCTCTTAAATCTCAAATAATGAGATGCGGTATATATAATTTAAACCGCGAAATAATGTACAATTTGAACATGATTTAACGTATGTCTAAACAAATTCGATTGTTTAATTACTTGGATAAATTATTTTGCTGGTGTTTGTAAGTATTACAATATGTAATGTTTATTTCTTATACATACGGAAAAAGTCAATCCATAAAACATAAATAAAAACCATAACGAGTTCTTATCGCAAAGAAAAATCATACAATGTATATTCATGTGATCTTTTAACGAGAGAATATGTTACGTTGAAAAAATATATATGTTGTTTTTATTAAAAAAAAAAAAAAAAAAATAATATATTAATATTTTTCAATTAGAATTCCTTTGGTATCGTATATTAATTATTATCGTAGTAGAATTATATTTTTCTTTGCATTAAGAATTACTCTGTTATATTTAATTTCTCGTTTTCATTTTTTTATGCGAGTTGCATTTTTGACTTTATTTGTATCATTTAAATGTAACATTACATGTGTATACTATAGGCACGCCATTATTTTTCTACAAATGCTTAAGCAGACTAAAAATTGAATCGACAAACTTAATTTCGAAAAACGTTATGTCATGCTCAATTATACGTTTCTTTTTTTTAATATTCAGACAAGAGTAACAAAAATGTTTTATTGTAATGACATATTACTAACATTTTGTAAATAGTCGAATTATCATGAATTAATGCGATGTAGTGATCAACTAATATATATATATATATATATATATATATATATATATATATATATATACACCTTCACACACACACACACACATATATATATATATATATATATGAATTTGAATATATATTCATAAATATTTACATACTTATATTTTTACATATCTTCACAAATTTTTGTACCTTCGCCTTATATGTATACAGATTTTTTAATATAAGATATAAAGATATTTCTTTATATGTACGAACAAGTTCATACTCGTTTTTGTTTTTTTTTTAACAGACCAATTAAATATATTGCTCTTATGAATTCTTCATGTATAATAAAAAATTTCGATCCGTTATATAAGTAGTAAAATTGATTTGGATTTTGTTAAAAAAAAAATCATTTCTCGCTTGTGGATATGTTTAGGAAGGACATTGCAATATAAATAAATATTCAATTCCACATACAAGTTTATATGCATATGCTGCATTATTATTACAGATACAAATAGGTACATATGTAAAAAAAGGAAGGAGAAAAGTGTGTCTTGTAATGTGATATTTGCGACGCTAAAATGAACACTACGCCGTCGTCTCGCTGAGTTTGCTTAGAACGAACTCTTCGATGTCTCTCGTTCAAAGTGTTTGTTGGCAGTTTATAAGTGTTACATCATGTACCGTATCTGCGGAACGAGCACGTTTTTCGCGGGTAGCATGTGAGCGCATAAGATCGTAGAACATTTGTATACTTTGCTCCACGCGATACATCTCGATATCTTTCAAGGAAAATTATTTCCGAATTGAATCACTAGAAATCGTGAATTTTTCTTTCTTTTTTTCTTTTCTTCGTACAAATTTATACGTATTAAAAAAAAAAAAAAAAAAAAAAAAAAAAAAAGAGAAAAGAAAAAATCATCGAAGCTTCGATCATTGATATCTCTCGTGCGATGTATTATATAAGAAAATACGATTCGGCGGGAAAGTAATCCTAAAAGAAAAAGAAAAGGAAGAAGCGCAGAAGAAAAGAAAAAAAGTAATGAGAAAGGAGGAGAAAGGAAGGAGAAAAGAAATGAAGAAAATTTTGAATCGAAAGCAACGATCGAAGCCTTCGTGAATAGAACACTTCGCACTTGTGAATCGCGCGTCTCGCAGCGTACATGGAACATACATGTAAAGACGGAATATTGTTTATGCGCTTTTATGCGGGTATGTCAAAAAATCCTAAGTGACGTGTTGTTAGCGTAAAATTCCTTCGGCTCCTCGAGTCCTCTTTTTTTATTTCGAAACGAGCTGAATGTTAGGATGGAAGCCATCCTTGTCGGCAGTGTAATCGACCCTAAAAATCAAAGACAATCAGAGACAACAGTTCTATCGTTGTTGACCTTTTTTATATTCGTTTTTTTTTTCTTTTTTCTTTAATACTCTTTTTATTCCTTTCGTTTATTAAATATCTTTTTTCTAAATTAATTGAATTTTGCTTGTACCTGTACGTATGACCGTCCGGAGATATGAAAGAAAAGCTACCCGTGACGGCTAATTCTTCGTCGTCCGTACCCTCATTTCTAAGCTCCGCTGTTTCATCTCTTTTTTGTCCATCGCTTTGCTCGTAACTGAAGTGATATCCACCTACTCCGATATTGTTCACTTCCTCCTGCTTTACAATTGTGATATCATTCGGATTACCTTGCGGTGCTGCGAGACTCGCGACCAAAAGAGTCGCTAGAATGATGACCTGCGTGTTAAAAAACTATTATCAATTATTATAATATTGTCATTGTTATTAATTCGTTTGTTTCTTTTTTGGATTTTCGCTAAACGTCAAAGTTTATGGAAAAAAGAAAGAAAAAGGAATCAAAGGCGCTAGGTATTACGACAAAGAAAAAGAAAAAAAAAAAAATACGCGTAATCGGATTCACTTTATTCCGTCGAAAGAATCGTCCTCTAAAAAATTATTCGTATATCGATGTGTATATTCCCGCTATGAAAGCTCGATATTGGACGGACGGAAGATCGATCGATAGTGATTTTCACCGAGAGAATTTGAAGAGACATTAAAACTTGGTTTCCTCTTTCGAATGTCTGGATTACACGCGAGAGCTCGTGCGCGTTGTCTGTCTCGCTCGCACGCACAAACGTCACAGATCCTCTTCACTTTCACTGTTACGCAAAAAAAGAATTTGGATGCTGCTTCGGGGATCGATCAAGTCGTCCTCATCGTTGTAGTCGTAATCGTTGCCGGCGGCTTTTGTACCCACGGATTTTTTCGATACACGATCTCGGATCAATCGTCTCGTCTCTAATGCAATATATATGTATATATATTTTTTTCTCTCTATGTTTCTTTTTTATGTAAATATATCTGCGTTCCTTTTCCTTTCTTTTTTATTTTAATTCTCTTTCTCTCTCTCTCTCTCTCTCTCTCTCTCTCTCTCTCTCTCTCTCTCTCTCTTTATTCATAATTGCACGCACCGTCTTCATTATGAGATTTCTTTAAGTACGTTCGTAGTAAACGTCTTCTTTGCACCCTTTCGTCCTTTAACGACGAACCGATACGTGATACCAGGGATGTGCGGTACATCTGCCTTTATATAGTCGGAAAATCGCAGTAGATGCATCCCCCCACTCGCGATGGCCTCCGAGATTCATTTGATCGCTACTCCCCCTCGTGCTTGCTTGCTTCTGCCCAGGATGCATCCGCGATGCACCACGATGCACCGCGAGAGCTATTCGACGCGCATTCGTTCGTCGTTGATAGAAACGCATTTACTTTGCCTTACTCCTGAGAGAAACCACCTTCGTACTCAAGATCGTCCTTTATTTCGTAATCTATGATAGCACTCATCGATCGTTTCATACCGTATCTAATAAACGATACATAACGATGTAAGTATTGTACTTGCATCGATTATTTTGCGATTAATGGAATCATTTGCTCAAAGTATGTATTATTATAATGGAAAAATAACAATGACCTCCCATTGAGACCGCCCACTTGCGGAAGTTTACTATGAGAACGTATAATTTGAAAACTCTTTCTTTACCTCTCGTCACGTTTTTCAATCGATCAATTTCATTTGATATTTTTTTTTATTTCTTCGATGTACCTATGAGCATTTGATGAAAAATTTTTTTATCTAACATAGACATTTAGTAGATCATGCGTGTAACGAATAAGAATAATTTGTAATTTCTCATGAATTACATCTATATGGGAACTTAGAAATGATAAATAGTGGGGGCGAACGGAGAGGGTTTATGAAAGTCCTTCAACTTTCGTAATTCAATGGGATGAGAAATTCGTGATAAACGAATGTCAGTTGCATCACGATAAATGCCAGTGCACCTGTTCGTCCTTAAAAACCACCGATCGTACTCCATATAGATGAAATGTCGCGATAACGAGTAAGCTAACCGCGGTAGGTGATTGTTACTTTCATGAAAAAACTAGAGAAGAACGACGTCGACGTGGAGAACGTAACGAATGACGACGCGATTAACTAATAAATTTTATCTTTATTATTTATCACAAATAAAACGAATGAAACGATGGATTTTCCATGTTATAAATGATGTCACGAATAAAAGAAGAATTTTTACGTCAACGCTAAAATTCGTCAATTTCAACCCCTTTCGATTTCGTTGATCGAGAGCGAATAATACAATCGCACACCAATTTACGTTCTCAAACGTCCTTGGTCATTGTGACATTTGGTTTTCTCTCTCGACGTAGTACTTACGTCGACGAAGCTGCCGAGGAAAGTTAATGACGTAACTACCGGTGACCTTGCCATTTCCGAAGATGCGCTGCCGTCGATGAATAAGTCCCCGAGGACGCCTCCGGCTACCGTGTTTTTCAGCTTCGACTATTTCTCCTTCCCCATATTTAAACAAACTATCTTTGGACGGTCCACTCCATTTTTTTTGCATATAACGATCTTTCGGACAAGTGACAGAATTCGTTACTTGAAAGAACTTTTTTGAATATTCCAGTGTTATTAGTGTTCCCTCAATTTTCTTTCTTTTTTTTTTTTTTTTTTAAATAAAACTGGCCCGTAATGTTTACCTTCGATAATGACCATAATTTAAGTTCGTTAAAAATTTTCTATTACTGCGTGTGTATCTCGAATAATTTTTACTTTCAAATAAATACAAATGTCATACGTAGAAATGTGATTGAAATATTTAATCGTCTTAAAATCGTATATAATATTATACATGATAAGAAATTATTTTTATATTGCTAATTTTGAAATGCTTATCACATTTCAATTTTCTAGACATGATAATGCGTACTTACCAACGTAATGATAAAATTAATAATAGTGTCACATACGATAGATATGTCGAAGATATCTCATTAGACTTCGAACCTATTCATCTAGAATAATTAGTTGGACCCATCAATCCTCTCTTTCTCTCTCTCTCACGCTCTCTCTCTCTCTCTCTCTCTCTCTCTCAATCTCTCTCTCTCTCTTCGGGAAGAGAATCTTCTCCTTTCCCTTTGCTATTCACGCGACCAATAAGCAAACATAAACGTGAAAGCGAGCACGACAACGATGTCCTGCGACCGTAAACGGAGAGATACGCGTCGACAAACTTATCGTGATTGTGTAAGGAC